TGTATTTTGTATCTAACGAAATATTTAAATCACTTATATCCTAGCTAGATGCAAATTACCATTTTTCCCAATGAAACGATGAGTAACCCATCCAAATTAACCAAAAGCCAATTTTAAACGCAGTCGATTAAAAAGGCGTTGGAAGTTAGGTATTACAGGAATTTATCATAAGACTTCTCCAAGCTCGATTAAACTCGAAACCCTGTTTAAAAGTATTGGAACAAAACGCGTTTTTTGTACTGTAGAAACAAAACGCCGCTTAACCGTAGACAAAAATGTTTAGTTCATTGTAGCGCCGCAATTGGCTTGGCAGCACTATGCTAGCCCGCCATTTTGATCGATTCTGATTGGTCATTATTCAGTAAAGTAGATGTGAACGTCATTTCCGGTCGCTTGCAGTTGGCTATCTTGTGCGTCTCGACGGCGCTGCTATCTATATTGTCTAGGCTGATTTGGCTTGGCGCCTTTCCTGTGTTGGTGGGTTCAGTGTAGTAGTGATTGTGAGTTACACGTTTCAAAATGGTGAGTTTTACAAGATTTTGTGAAAAATAGTGAATTTTGTGGTGATGTTTTTGTGTATTTCGGTGGATAACGATGTGATCAACAACCTGGCCAAGTTTCAGCTCTGTACGATTAAAATTAATAGTTTTTTTCGTTAATTTTAGGCTGGTGGTAAAGCGGGTAAAGATTCTGGCAAAGCCAAGGCGAAAGCTGTGTCGAGATCAGCAAGAGCAGGCCTACAGGTATTGTTAAACGTTATTTTTATTTAATTTAGGAATTTTAAAATTACTAATTGATTCTCAAATGATATGATAAAATATTTCACAAAATTGAATATTACGCATGACCTCTTTAGTATGGCGGCGGCGGCAGCCAACTCTGTCTAGTGAAATAAATCAATAATTTTCATCTAAGTTTCCTATTTCCAATTTTAGTTCCCTGTGGGAAGAATTCACAGACATCTAAAAAACAGAACGACGAGTCATGGACGCGTTGGAGCAACGGCGGCTGTATATTCTGCAGCTATTCTGGAATATCTTACAGCCGAGGTAAGCTACGCGACGCTCCGTCAATATGGCGGCGTCAACTACTGTCTAAGCTTGCAAGCCGTGCCCATAATTACGATAGTAACGAATGATTCTTTGAATTTAGCTACATAAGAATGTTATAATTTTATTTTTGTAAGTTCTGTGTACTTTTTAGTCGTCCTTGGTCGATAGTGCAACTTGCACTAGTTATTTATTTACATTATTTCATTTTGGCGGGAAATTAGATAACAAAGATACGTTTGCTTGCCAATGCGATATTAAATTCATCATACATTATTAAAAATGTATTTGTTATTTGGATTCACTTACACCGTTTAATTCCTAAAAGTTTATTTATTATGTCACCATAATCTTGAAACCTGATGAGAATAGAATAGCTTTTTTTAGGTTTCTTCACTATGTTCAGGTTGATTTAGTAGAAATGCCAAAATACACAGTGCTGTACATAATTTGAAACCATATTCACATACCATTATTTTATTATAACTGTTAACAGGTGTTGGAGTTGGCAGGAAATGCTTCTAAGGATCTCAAAGTGAAGCGTATCACCCCTCGGCATTTACAGCTGGCTATCAGAGGAGATGAGGAGTTAGACAGTCTCATCAAAGCAACCATCGCTGGTGGTGGTGTCATCCCTCATATTCACAAATCTCTCATCGGAAAGAAAGGCGGTCCAGGAGCACCAGTTTAATGTAGGTTTGTATCTTTGCTTGTTATTCTGTATTTGTTACAAAGCTTAATTTAATCTCTATCAACATAATATTTATTTAATATCACCATTAATTTCTGTTTTGTCGACAGGTTCATTGAAGACTATTCGTATTGCATTTTATTCCGGACTCAATATCAGCATTGTAAAACTCATCACCCAATCAGTAAACATAGTTTTCTAATAGTGATGTAATAAAGCAATGGAGTGACTTGGAGAAGTGATTGTCCGGACTTGTAGCTCATAAGCATTAGTTATATTGTAGCATTAAGGAGATTTATGATTGTATTAGAATTAAGTTTTAATTCTTTAGTTTGTTTATGGGACATTTTTATTTGCTGAGAATGTTTGTATTATGCTGTTAAAATTGTCTTGCTGCCAGCTTCATTTGGACTATGTTTGCTCTGACTATAGAAGCTGGTGCAATATAATTTTTGACTTATTTGTAAGCTCTAAGCTGTTGTAATAGTTTCTGCAGCATTTTTGTATTCTTTTTGACAAAATTGTAATAACAATGGTGAAATACAAAATGAGTATGTTGTTCAAAATTGTAATTTGGTATGATTGAACTGTTACAAGTTGTAAGAAATGTATTTTGATCTTTAAAATATAATGAGGAAGAATGTAGTTTCGCTTTTTATTTATCAATTCACAAAATAAACCCGCAAAGTCGGATCGGACTCGCGCATCGTGGGTTCCGTACAAAACTTGCAGGTATTTGTAAATTGTGTTAGATGGGTAGATGATATACACTGGGAAGAAAAATAATGTAAACAATAAAATTATTGTCCTACCCACCATAATCCATAAGCATCTAAAAACATTTTGATTTATCAAAATATACATATTTATAGTGTATGGAATTTTATAATGGATGGAAAGTAGGTGGTACTTATCTGTAGATAAAAAACATTTCTATTTTTTTTTAATAGAATGAATGTTTCAGAGATTTTCTAAAATGAAAACACCATACAATTTTCTGTAAATAATTAAATACATATATTATGGTTTTCTTTTCATTTGATTTATCAATCTTAAATTTTATCGATGCAATAAAATAATTAAGGCCCGTCGCCCACGTACTGCTACTTTTTGTAGAGATGTCGCGCAGCATCGATACTAAAAACGCGCGTTAGTGGCATTATTTTCCAGTTTTGCAACGTGCTACAGCACAGCATCGCAAGTGTATCGATCTTAGAGAGATAGATATTACGTATCGATGCAAACGCGCGACCGTGTCGGCATCGGGTTCGTTTGGTCAGTTACTGAATCTGAGTAAATATATTCTTTGGCATGCAGTGTCGCCTTCGCCTTTGTATATTTTGCATTAGATTGAATAGTGTTTATACATGTGCCATCGTGGGCACACAATAGCGACCGCATTCAAAGAGTCGCCGGTAAATATATTTAAACGCAGTTTTAAAGGTTTTTTTCAATCGTTTCCCCTCATAAACTCGTACCACAGTATGCTTAAACTGTTTAAACAATGCACAATGAGGATCATTTCGATTTTTAGCTGTGAAAGCAGATTTATAGGGCTAAGAAATCCTTAATACACAGTGCAAAAATTTTTGTTCTACGACAAAAATTGACGAAGTTATGTCCAAATTACTAAAAAAGTTCACTGACCGCCCGGCGCGGGGACGGTGACGTCATTATATCCGATCCGAACGCTGCCGGCGTACTGCGTGGATAGAAAATATTTTTTTCAAGCCAAATTATCAGTTTTAGAGAAAAACTTGTGATGACATTTATTCATCAGAATAAAGTAAGCTATCGATAGGTAATTTTTAAAAATGGAAATTGTGAAAAATAACCCAAAAAATCCATACGCTCATACGATTCAATGGCACGCAGAGACGCGATTGGGGTCTCCGCGGTGGTATATTTGGCGATTTATTCAAATAAAGTGTACATAAGTGTTGTTAGAGTCATATCTTCTTCCAAGTAAAATATAAAAATGTATAAGTATTAATTTATTTACTTCTAACAATAAGGTATAACTTCTAACAATAAGACATTGCTATGAAAATCATTTCGATGTACACTTAATAATACCTACCTGTTATTTAGTTTTTCTGAGTTAAACCTACGCACCTACCTATCTATTCGCCGTTCCCATGGGCGGGCCAGCTGCTGCAGGAAAGGACAGCCGCTCCGTGCTGGAAATCTATTTAATCTTAGCCTAGAAGCTGGGTATGACTACCCCGCCCCTCTCCTCTCCCCAGGTCATAAGCTGGGCATGACTTCCCCCTCGGCCAGAAGTTGGGTATGATTTACCCCCCCCCCCCCTCCCGGCCCGAAACTGGGTATGACTTGACCCCTCCCCCTCCCCCCAGGCCAGAAGCTAGGTAAGGCTTGCCCCTACCCCCAGGCCATAAGCATAAGCTGGATATGACTCCCCTTCGGCCAGAAGCTGGGTATGACACCCCCCCCATGCCAGAAATGCCAGAAACTGGGTATGACTTGACCCCCCCCCCCTCCCCCAGGCCATAAGCTGGGTAAGGCTAGCCCCTCCCCCCAGCCCTAGAAACTGGTTATGACTTGACCCCTCCCCCCCCCTCTCCCCAAGCCAGAAACTGGGTAAGGCTAGCCCCTTCCCCCAGTCCATAAGCATAAGCTAGGTATGACTCCCCTTCGGCCGGAAGCTGGGTATTACTTACCCCCCCCCCCAGGCCAGAAACTGGGTATTAGCATCATATTATGTATTATTATGTTCAATACAAACAATCATTAAGTTACACTCACCCCAACCGCGTCTCCGCATTGCATCGAATCCTATGAAAATGTGGTTTTTGGACATAGCAATACTTATTTTTCACAATTTTTATTTTTAAAAATTACTGGTCGATAGGTTACTTTATTTTGAAGAATAAATGTTATTAAAAGTTTTTTTCTAAAACTGATAGTTTAGCCGGAAAAAAATATTTTCCATCCCATTAGTACGCCGCGGCGGCTGCGCTCGATTCGGATATAATGACGTCACGCGGCCTTGCGTACGTTGACTCTTAGCGGCAAAAACGGCCTATGTTTATTACTTAATATCTTCGTAAGTAATGGTCCGATTTGGATAATTCAAAAAGATATATCTTTCTTATGTCTTAAAGATTAACGTAGATACTAGTTTTATTGAATTTTCTACAACAGTACTGATCCTCATTGGCTACAAACGCTACAACTCAGAGCCGTAAAATTTTATGGATTTGTAAGGCCAATATGTATGGTTCCAGGCTGGGAGTTAAGAAATCTCACAATGAAAAAAAGTCATAAATGTCAAAAAAGTAAAATGGATGGTGTTTTTTTCACTGTGGTGTTTTCCTGAAGATACGCCTTTATTTACTAACGCGAGTGTTTCACTAACGTACATACGAAAAAGCAGTGACAAAAGCGGTTCCAACTCACTTAGTGGCAGAAAAAATTAAAAATATTAAAAAGCGAACCCGAAACGAAATGAGTTCTCGTCATCGTGATCGTAGTCGGTCACGCTCAAGAGACCGCGATCGCCACAAGGATCGTGAAAAGACCAGGGACCGCGACCGCGACAAGGAGAGAGACCGTGATCGGGACCGAGAAAGGGACCGCGACCGCGACAGGGATCGCGATCGCGACAGAGACAGGGATCGCCATCGCTCTAAGAGGTACGTGTTAACCTACATAGATGCACGTCACCAATATGGTACATTCTCTTGATAAATGTGTATTCCACATAATATGGCCAAATAAAACTTTTAGTGAATTTTCAGTGTGTTGTGTTTTAGTTTCAGTATTCATTCATATCATGTTAATGCTATATTATTATATTAATGCTATATTATTTATTGTATTACTCATTCTATACGGTCTTTTGTCTCATGTTGGTGTAACAATTACAGGGACAAAGATAGAGATCGTAGTCGTAGCCGTGAAAGGCACAAGGAGAAACGTCGCAGCCGGAGTCGCTCGCGCAGCAGAAGCCGGAGTCGGGGCAGAAAGTCTAAGGACAGGTAATCGTTGACGGTGCTTTTCAACTCCGTTTTACCTTAATTTTATTTGCTGAAGAAAAGGCCTTTTGTTGTTGAAAAATTTGTAACATCAGCCAAGCACTTAATAAAAGATAGAATAATAAGTAAAAAATAGAGAACAATAGTGTCTGGACAAACCTCAAGAAGATTTAAGGCACTATTTACGAAGATGTAACGGTTAAATACAACATACTCTTTTTGATTTCCTGGAACTCTAGGGTATTAATTAGACCACTTCAAAGAATGGAATGGCATTACATTTTTTGTTAAATTCAACAATTTTTTTCGACTTATTTTTTTATACGAAATTATTTAAAAACTTAATTTTTACTGAAATAATTAATTATTTACATACACTTATCAACAAAAAGTCTGCACAAAAAGACTAGGTGACAATTTTGAAAAAAAAAAACTAGATTGATGATACTATAATCTAAATCAACTAGGTATCTTCTAAATCTAGAATCCACAATATCTTCAAAAATATGCTTTTAAAAACACATATTCCTAAGACTCTAACTAGTTTTTATTTATAGAATATACCCTTAAAATTTCCGGAAAACAAAAGGAGCATGTTGTATAGGGTAAGGTGGGGCACAATGTTACACGGGGTACAATGTTACAATGCATATTTCTCCGTCCCTTTCTATTAGTTGTATGATGTTGGTATACACGTTTGTCAAGCTCTTAAGAGCTGCTGAACTGAGCAGCTGAACATCATACAACTAATAGAAAGGGACGGAGAAATATGCATTGTAACATTGTACCCCGTGTAACATTGTGCCCCACCTTACCCTATGTAATAAATAAATATCGAGGCAGAGTCAGCTTACCTTCAGGATGACATCTTCTGGCTACAATACATAACGCGGTCGGTGACCGTATCGTCCACAGAGACGGGACCATCGCGCTGCTGGACCAGATGGTGGGCACGACGACGAAGGCCACGGCGCGCGCGGTGGCCGGCGCGGCCGCCGTCAACCCCGCCGCGCACGCCGCCATCCTCGCCGCCGCCGCCGTAGCACAGGTTAACATTGTTCCATTGCTCACGTACCTAACTTTTTAGGCTTTTCAACATCCAGAGCTTTTAATTCTCCAAAATGTATTTTTTATTTATTTATTCATGAATAGACGTAACAAAGTTCATAACATTTATAAAGTTCAGTATAAACATAGCCGCGTAATGTGTTGGTGTATTCTTATCTGAGTGATGATTAATTTGTTTGTTTCCCTAAAGATAATATAATAATTAAATTATTATGGTGTTTGTTTAAGATTTAAACTTGATTTATTTACTTGGTTATGTATTAATTTGATAAATAACATTTGAAATTACTAAGTTATCATAATATGAATTGTGATAATCTTATTTTCAGCAAAATGCTATTGAAAGAGAGGTATACCTGAAAATTATATAGTAGGCTCAATTTAATAATCTTTATCTTCAGTATAAGTTTACAACTTACAATATGCCTAACATTTTATTAGCAACAAATCAATTATTTTTCTTACTTCACATCTTACTTTTAGAAATATATCAGCTACATGGTATGTAGAGCATTACAAACTTTTATTAATTTTGGGGGTAATTTTTATCAGTGATTTGTCAATTTAATTATTATTTATTTTATTATTAGTTTTGTTTTTATAATTTGTCTTAAACGTTTTTTTGGGTGTGTGTCACGGCGGCGTTCTATTTGGTTTGTTTATTTGACGTGCGTGCGTGTGGCGTGGTCGCGCTGACAGACGTTTGTGGCGCAGCGGCGCATCGCGGCTCCCGTGCAGCCGGCCGCCGCCGCCGCCGCCGCGCTGAGCGCCGCCACCGCCATCCCGCCGCCCACGGCCGTGCAGCAGCGCCTGGAGCAGCTGCAGGCGCGGACCGAGGCGCGCTACCGCGAGCGCCCGCCGCACCCCGCGCACCCGCCGCACCCGCCGCACCCGCACCACGACTACCACCCCGACGACGACAAGGACGACGGACAGGGTGAGGCATTTGTTCTTTTTTGTTATGAGGATAGAGTTTGGTAATGAAACATATTTTTGCAGTATGGAGTGTTGTCTCAAAGGATAGTGCCAAGGTCTGGATCAAGTGCTGCCCAGAATCAACCCATAGTGCATTTTGTTCCTCAGGCCAATACTAATGTGTAAACCGAAGCACACTGAAATCTATCCCTGGAGTTAAGAGAAAAAAAGAGTTTTGTTTTGAATTATTTAGTCCACACTCTTTTCGCATTGTGGTATTATAAGCATAGCTGGGCATTAACTCGTTAATCCGTTAATCGTTAATTAACGAAGTTAACATTTCTATTAACGGATTAACTTTTAAGTTAACTTTAAAAAATGTTAACGGACTCGTTAACTTCCGTTAAATTATCCTAAGTCCGTTAATCGTTAATCCAGTACCTACTATTTACCAAAAAATATAGCAGGCACGCTGAAAAAGGCGTTCTGACAAGTACGTTCTGGCTTCCAGAACTTCCAGTACCCAAAACAACAGTTTTTGTAACCAGTGGGCCGAGTGTGAGTTAAAAAATGTATGAAAATTTTAGTTTTTGAACGTTTCCCGCTAGGGGCGCTGTACAATCCGTCATAGATTTAATGTAATTTTTTGACGCGCTCACTAGCGTTTGATGAAATCTCACATTAGGCCCTCTGATCACTAACGACACTTGTTTGTATGTGTGGGACAACTCCTTGCAACTGAATATAAGACCAGTTTTCCTGAACCGATTGAGCTGAAATTTGGTATACTTATGTAAGTACGATGACAATGCAATGTTATGGTATCATTGAGCTGGTCTGATGATGGAGTCATGAGGTGGCCATAGGAACTCCTAAATGAAACGGCGGCATCGCATCGAATTTGGGTTCGTTGGATTGTCTTTTCGAGTACTTTAGTACTAGATGATATCCAGGGTCCTGATGATGGAATCAGAGGTGGAATTGTGTAAAACAATCGTAATCATTTGACAGTTCATAACGTACGATAAAGTCAGTTAAACAAAGCGTTTGACAGAATAATCGTACGTTATGAACTGTCAAATGATTACGATTGCTTTACACAATTCCACCTCAGGAGGTGGCCATGGGAATTCCTAAACGAAACGGTAGAAACTTATCGAGTTTGGGTTTGCTGGATTTGTCTTTTCGAGCACTTTGGTGCTAAATTGTATTGTAATTGAACCAAGGCTCTGAGATTGAGATACCTACACTAAAAAGTGTTTTAAACTTTTTTTAAAACAAGCTTTTATTCTGAAATGCAGTTGTACTAAAACGAAAAAAATAATTGTACTTATGCAAGGTTCAAATAATTTCGAAAGCTTGTAGCGCAAACATAAAAGAGGAACAAATTCCATGCGCGATACAAGCTTTCGAAATAATTTGAACCTTGCATACAATTATTTTTTTTGTTTTATTATCATGTGTTAACGGATTAACGATTAACGTTAACTTGCGTTAAATCTTGCGAAATGTAACGTTTTAACGTTTAACGAAGTTAATTTTTTTATTAACGGTTTAACGATTAACGAAGTTAACTATTTGATTAACGGTGCCCAGCTATGATTATAAGATAACAGTGGCCAGATGAAGAAGGCGGGCAATAAAAACTATTTATTTTATTTTCTGTAGTCAGGCATAAGATAATTTTTACAAATATCTCAATATTCATATTCAATATCTTTATTGCTAAACTAAATATAGTAGGTACAAAAGGAAATATAAAAAAGTAAATAAAAGCTTGTAAAAAATAATGTTACAATTTTATTTAAGCAAAAGGTACAGAGCTGATTTTCAGACTCGTCCTGACAATACGGGCTAACGCTGAGGAAAAGCACCACAAGAAAACTCGATCACTTCAGCCTTTTTTCCATTACAAGATATCATGTCAATTTCACATTTTTTATGTATTATATTAAGGTGCGTACGGATTGCGCGTACCCTGGTATACCATACGCGTATCCGGAATGCTTAGTCCATGTATGTATGGACCAGTCCATGCTGAGTACGCGTACCCAGGGTACGCGCAATCCGTACGCACCTTCAGAGAGCGTGTGTGACGTGTGTCCTGCGCAGGCCCGGCGGGCGAGACGGCGGCGGAGCGGCGCGCGCGGCGGCGGCGCACGCGCTGGACGGGCTCGGAGCACGACAAGACCTTCATCCCCGGCCTGCCCACCGTGCTGCCCTCCACGCTCACGCGCGACCAGGAGGAGCAGTACCTGCGTGAGTATCCGACCCGCTCTTGTTGCTTGTTGACGTGCATCGTACTTCCGATTGACCGATCTTAAAATTGATTACTCTTAAACCCGCTAAACGAAACCGAAAGATCCGAAGCGGTGATTACAATGCTTTATTATATTAATATGTGATAGATTTATTCCAAACTTTTGTCTGGATATGAAAATAATGATATTGGAAATCACGAGAGAAGTAAAAATCTATTTGTGTTATTGTTGTACGATAAAAGCGCGATCCGGTTGGCCGATGCCGCGATTTCCGATTTCATTTAAAACATCTGTGCGTCCCGAAACTCAAATCAAGAACGGTGGTACTGGAAATTATTAATTTTTCCCTCATCCGTGTGGCGAGGCGAACGATAGAAAGGAGCGTCCGTAGAAAAATATATTCCATTCCTTTCTTGATGTGAGCCGGAAAGTTTATTGTTTTCTGTTCAAATACTTTTACTTTTAATCGATGATGATGAGATGAGTTACGAAATATTTTAACCATAATCGAATCGTTCTAAAATAATTTGATTTCAGCTATCAAATAATAATTAATAATACAGTTCTTTCAGCAGAACGCCTTAACCTCGCAACTCGCAGGTTGTCAGTTAGCTAGCGCTAGGTACTGTACTGTAGTGGAGGCCGGGCCTTGTAGCGTGTTCTAATGCGGCGCCGCCGCGGCTAACCCTTGCCTTGCAGTGCAGCTGCAGATCGAGGAGGTGTCCCGCAAGCTGCGCTCCGGCGACCTCGGCATCCCCGCCATCGAGGAGAGGTCAGACCCACCACCGCACATGAGTATACGCCATTGACTTATTCACTCACCCTACTGTGCTCGCATGACGCGCTCACCCCTCGTGCCGGTATTCTGTGACTGCAATAATGTGCCCGTTGTTATGTTCGCAGGTCGATAGTATCCGACTGTGTCGAGATTTCGGTAACATGTAACGATGTAACGTACGGTTAGAAACGGCCGCGAGAGTCGCTATCGCGCCCGCTAGGTTTCGCCCGCTCGGCCCCCGACGAACTAATGCGCCTTTTTCGTTTTCGCAGGTCGCTAATCGCTGCACTATCGATTCTGATCAATTTAACCTAACCGATAATGACCATTCTTTCAGCGACGGCCACTCACCTAATGACAATTATTTTCAGGGCTAATGATGTTAAAATTTCAGGTCAATAATAATGATTAATCAATAATAATGATTCCTTCCTCAGGCGCTAGGGCAGTTAGGAATTCTGAATAGAGGCACTTTCCGCGACTGATCGATGTCAAGTACCGAACACGAACGGCGTTACCGAGTCGTCAATGCTCCTATACTTGAGGCGCGCGCGCACGTGTGACTTTTGTCACCGTGACAGTATGTCTTTCCATACATAAGAATAAGTACTCCGTTATCTCTTTTTATCTTTATAAAAGTGTAAAAGAAAAAGATAATTACTGTCACGGTGACAAGATATCACTCGTGCGCACATAGCCTTATGCCCGTTGTCACCATCAATCTCTACTTTTTAAGAGATCCTTATGGTAACACAATATGAATTTTGTTTTCATAGGGGTCACTTAAAAATAAGGAAATTGATGGTGAAAACGGGCATTAGTCTCGCACGCGGGCGGGAGGACGCCGCCGCGGGCCCAGCCATGGCGTCCGCGGCGGCGACTTCATCTGACCCCAAATTTTGTTTCCTCAATTTTGAAATTTTGCGTTCACCCATTTTGTTTTTGCGGTTAAATTTTTTCCTTTCTATTAGAATGCGCGAACGTAAAATTAAGAATTTTCCTTACCGTTTGGTGCTGAGAGACTGGACCGTTTTTTTTTAAATAACCAATAACTTTTCTGTAAAACGCTCCATCGCGGGACTTATAACATATCTACATAATATACAATGTGTCCGAGGAAGTAGTGAACAAAATTTAAGGGCGTGATCTATGGACAACTTTATCGATGAAAATACTTCAAATCTGGGGCTTGACTCGCCTCTCGCCAAATTACAAGAGTATTGTATTGTAATATATTTTTAGTATTTACCTCTTCCTTTAAAAATAAGCAACAGCAGGGGCACCTTGACATTGTTAAGCACACAAGTATAGTTCCAAAATACTGGACTGTCCTATCGATGACATTGACAGTGGGGCGCCACCGTCAATACCGGATCGCTGGTTCCGATTTTTGCCATGTTGCAAAACCATATAGTTGAACGATGGTAGCGCCCCCATGTCATTGAGTTTGGTGGGACAGTTCAGCGTGGGTCATCTATATTTGGTATCATTTGATAGTTAACAAAATTACCTATTATATTTTTTTTATAATAGAAGTAGCAAGCAGACACAAAGCTCAAACTTATGAAACTAAGGATGGATTTAAGTAAAACATACATGACTTTTCTTACACGTGTTTTTCAGTTAATTTAAAGTATCATTAAAACCAGGTCGTTAAAGTATATTTTTATTTGCATTGTATTACAGTATTTGAGTTATTCTACAAAATGAGGGTAAAAATATTATTCTACGTCTATTACTTCTTCCGTTGCTATTGTTGAGCAAAGGGTCCGTTCTGTTTTCATAGTTTACTAGCGGCCGCCCGCGACTTCGTACGCGTGGATCCTGTTTTACCCCCTTTTCCCGAATTTTCTTTGCTATAAACCTCACGGAGCCCGAGACCTTTCCAACGAATGCAAAACCGTGGAAATCGGTTCGTGCGTTCTGGAGTTATAGCGTCAGGGAGGAAAACCCGACTTATTTTTATATAGTAGATTTCACACAGGCTATCGATGATAAAAAAATAAATTGGGTGAAGTTTCTGATTTAAAGTATTTTCTTTGATAAAATAGCCGGATCACGGTTTTAAAGTTTGATCACTATTTTCCCAGACACGCTGTATATCCACATGACTTAGATTTGCTGGATTAGTGACCAACAAGACACACTAAAAGATAAATGAGTGATGTCTTTATTCGTTTATTCGGAGCAATGTAATCGTTCGGTCGAGTCTCCCAGCACGGACGGACGTGCGGCGCGGGAGTGACGGGCGCGCGGTTGCAGGTCGCCGTCGCCCGAGCCCATCTACTCCACGGACGGCAAGCGGCTCAACACGCGCGAGTACCGCACGCGCCGCAAGCTGGAGGAGGAGCGCCACCGCCTCGTCACGCGCATGCACCAGATCAACCCTGAGTTCAAGCCGCCGCCCGACTACAAGTGAGCATGCGAACACATCATCAGTTCAGCCACAGGACGTCCACTGCTGAATATGGCCTATGTTCATCAGTCCCCCAATGTTGGTAGAGGCCTGCATCTAGCGCCTTCCTGCTACCTTTATCAAGTCGTCACTCCAGCTTGTGGGTGGATGTTCCACGCTGCGTTTTCCGGTAACGTGGGATTCTAGAACCTTGCTGCCCCATCGGCAGTCAGATGCAGCCCAAAGCGAACACAGCTATAGACATTTTAACTTCCCCTCGGAGCCCGAGCACACGATGCGGTGCGGCGTCATATCCGAAGATTTGCTGCAACGCATCGTATGTTTTGGCTTATTATGAAGAAAGTGCACCGACAGCAGTGGCGTAACTATAGGGCAGGGCTGGCCAAATGCTACGGGCCCCCGACCCGAGGAGGCTCCGGCCCAAGTCCCTAATCGATGGTCCCGGGGCCCTCTTAAAAACCCTAGAATTTTCCACGGGCTTCGGGCGGTTACGCCACTGAGCGACAGATAATTATGAAAAATTATAAATTCATTCGTAGTTGTGATCGGAAATGTGATAAATCGATGACGTCATACTCTCCGCAGGCCGCCCATCATCCGCGTGCACGACAAGGTGATGATCCCGCAGGAGGAGCACCCCGACATCAACTTCGTGGGGCTCCTCATCGGGCCGCGCGGAAACACTCTCAAAGGTACACCACTAATATTAGCGATCCCTACAAGTCTGATACAGCTTTTGTATTTCTAAAGATCTTAAGTAAATGTTGTGTTTTCTAAACATACTGAGCCCGTAATCCTTAAAATGTACTTATTTAAATTTGAAGTTTTTATTAGGATTTTTATTTTCGAATATTACAATAAATATGCTTGTCGGCCGTTTGGTGTAGTGGTTCGAAACGGACAACTATTCCGGAGGTAGCGGGTTCGATTCCCGCACAGTACAAACATTTGTGTGCATGAACATATTTGTTTGTATTGGACTGGGTGTTTTCTGCGTAAAATAATTATGTATTTACAAAAAAAAGTTTAATTTAAGTATGTTTATATCCGTTGTCTAGTACCCATAGTACAAGCTTTGCTTAGTTTGGGACTAGAAGCGCAATGTAAAATGTCCAAGGATATTTATTTATTATTTATTTTGAGGATAATGAATGAATTTATTAGAAGGATATTTATTTATTATTTATTATAACTTTTGAGCCGTGTGGTAGAAACGAATGTACTTATTAATCCCGCAGCGATGGAGAAGGAGACGGGCGCGAAGATCATAATCCGCGGCAAGGGCTCGGTGAAGGAGGGCAAGGTGGGCCGCAAGGACGGCCAGCCGCTGCCCGGCGAGGACGAGCCGCTGCACGCCTACATCACCGCCACCAACGCCGACTGCGTCAAGAAGGCCGTCGAGAAGGTCAGCGTTCTGCTTCACGTATTTTGACACGCTCGAAATCTCCTTGACGTTTGTTTAGAAGTGGTCCTATTGAAAAACAGTCCTGTGGGTCTAGACAAAGTGCACATTTTTATCGCAAACAGTCGAAACGCCTTTTTTTTTGTATGGAGTTTTGACAGATTCGATTCGATCAAAAAGTGCACTTTGTCTAGACCCACTGAATCCGAATTCACGTGTCATTTCGATAGAACGATTAAAGACCCAATACACTGAACTGTCCCACCCGTGACATTGATAGGGGGGCGCCAGCGTCAATACCGGATCGCTGGTTTCGATTTTTGCCATGTTGGGAACTATATTGTCGGCCGTTTGGTGTAGTGGTTCGAAACGGACTACTATTCCGGAGGTTGCGGGTTCGATTCCCACACAGTACAAACATTTGTGTGTATGAACATCTTTGTTTGTATTGGACTGGGTGTTTTCTATGTATAATATGTATGTATTTACAAAAAAAAAAGTATTTAAGTATATTTATACCAGTTGTCTAGTACCCATAGTACAAGCTTTGCTTAGTTTGGGACTAGGAGCGTAGTGTAAAATGTCCAAGGATATTTATTTATTATTTATTTATTTATTTATATAGTTGAACGATGGTGGCGCCCCTCTGGCAATGACTTTGGTGGGACAGCTCAGTGTAGGTCATCTATACTCGATAGGATCGCAACTGAACGATTTCTCAAATAGGTAATAGGCGAATACCGCGGAGGTAACGATTGAACATGCATAAGGCGGTTATCACACTGCGCCGCGCTCCGTCGCGGAGCGCGGGGCGACAGATTTATTAATTATATGCAAGTACCTCAGTTTGTATGGAAAACACGCGCGGCACTTCACACTTACAACGCGTCCGCGGAGCGCGTGATTTCATATAAAAAATCACGCGCTAAGCGACGGAGCGCGGCGTGATAACCGCCTAAAAATGAAATCGAAACAAAATCGGGCAATTAAGGCCCAGAACACACGGTGAAACGCAATTACAATGAAACTGCAACTTCTAGTTACTTTTGAGTTGCATCTAAGTTTCTGCCATAGATTCCTTTGAGAGACCACACATGACGCGACCAGTTTGAAACTGGTTTGAAATGAAACCGATCGTTGAAGTTGCGTTTCACCGTGTGTTCTGGGCCTAACACGTGAATACGAAAAGTTACTAGCGATCAAGTCGCTTGCATGTCGTTGAAGTTTTATTACGCTCGCATCGTCGTTCCAGTGCCTCGTCGTCTATAACGCTCGCTCCCCGCAGATCAAGGAGGTGATCCGGCAGGGCGTGGAGGTGCCGGAGGGGCAGAACGACCTGCGCCGCATGCAGCTGCGCGAGCTGGCCCAGCTCAACGGCACGCTGCGCGAGCACGACGCCCAGCGCTGCGCCAACTGCACCGCCACCGACCACAAGACCTGGCTCGTGAGTAGCGCTCACATTACTGAAGCGGCTGCGCGAGCTGGCCCAGCTCAACGGCACGCTGCGCGAGCACGACGCCCAGCGCTGCGCCAACTGCACCGCCACCGACCACAAGACCTGGCTCGTGAGTAGCGCTCACATTACTGAAGCGGCTGATTTTCATTGACCGTCGTTTACGGTCAAAAACGATCATTTTGCGCTCCTGCACATGACGCCGCTACCGCGCCGCCGCCGCTCCTTTGCACTGTTCATACGCACCGAGTAGAACCGCCGCCGCGCCGCCACCGCGCCATCAAAGCATAATTTCGCCCGCGGCGCGGCAGCGGTGTTTACGCATGCAGGAGCCCTTTCGGTCAATTTGATTTCAGTAATTTAAATTTTTTCTTAGATTTTGTGATTGAGTCTACCTGCAATATGTTAATTGAAATAAAAAAGAAAGTGGTTTGTAATGATTTATTATAGTTAAAAATTTTACAATGAGTCTACAACTTCTAAATTGAAACAATAATTAATGTTTTGTAATGATTTATAATTTTGTACTCTCTTTTTTTCCCTACGCAATTGCCCCACACCCCGCTCGTTCACGTGCATTATAGGTGAAATGGCAATGTCGCATCGTCGCGCACGTCAACTTTGATGACGTTTTATTCTCTCATAAATAATACAAAATAATGTTCCTTGATTTGCGTCCGCAGTGCCCGGACAAGCCCAACGTGACCAACAGCATCGTGTGCTCGTCGTGCGGCGGCGCCGGGCACATCGCGCGCGACTGCCGCGCCAAGCGCCCCGGCCACGCGCCCGCGCCCAGCGCGCACAAGGTACGCTACCAGCACCGTATCCGGGTCAACATTCGACAATTTACTATTCTATCTATAGTCTGGTCTGTGAGCACGTAGAATTTCGTCCAATGACTCCAAGCTACCCATCCTTATCGCTCGCGCGTAATTATGTTGCTATCGCGCTAGCACACTCACTGCGGGCGCTCGTCGCACAGTCGCGACAGCAATATAATTACGCGCGAGCGATAAGGATGGGTAGCTTGGGGTCATTGGACAAAATTCTACGTGCTCACAGACCGGGCTTTACTCTTTATCACATTTCTCATAAAGGTATTATGGTTGGGAAAAATAATAACGGACCAGTGTCCGTTATTATTTTTACGAGCGGTACCAGTGTACCGCTCGTCCCGTAAGGATAGGTTGCGCGGCGACAGTTGAGGCGGTAAACGCGAGCAAACATTTCTCTCTGCTTTAACGTAAAACGCTCGCCGGCCGCGCCGGTCTCAAGTGGACGTGACGTAACGTTCAGCGAAGGCGAGTCGACTAGTGTGTTTGAAATTTTGAATTAGTACGTGTAACGAGTCGTGCGCGCTTCGCACGTGCAAATCACGTCCGCGCGAGTGCCGCGGTCGCCTCAACTTTCGTCGCGCGACATACACCCGTACGGCTAGCACGAAAAACTTTTGAGTTCGAATCGTTTACGTATTCGAATCGCCATCAAAAGATTTAGTATGAAAACTACAACAGAGCCTTTGTGAACGTGTCTTAAAGTGAACTTAGTTTGAGAAATGGTTGCACGAAACTTATTTTGAGAATCAAAATCACGTTATCGTTTAATTCGAAGGTTGAGTATCGAATTTTACCGAATATGCAAATGATTCGAACTCGAAAGTTATTCGTGCTAACCGTACCGGCCGTTGTAATGACGAGGCCGCGCTAACCCGCAGGCCAAGATCGACGAGGAGTACATGTCGCTGATGGCGGAGCTGGGCGAGGCGCCGCCGCCGGGCGGGGGGCCCCTGGGCGGCGCGGGGGGCGGGGGCCGGCGCTACGCCCCCGCGCTTTTCGCGCCCGCGCACGCCGCGCGACCCATCATGCCGCCGCCGCCGGGTCAGTGCTGGTTTCCGTCTTATTTATTTTTTTGCTTTTCAATTTGATTTTATCTTGTTTCGAATAAGTTTTGTATCTTTCACCCGTTGTTGGAAATATAAGCCTAGGTGCAGACCACCGACTTTTAGTTGGCCGATAGTTGGGCCCGATCTAATTTGTATGAAGAATCGGCCGATACCAAATCGGTGTAATGAGCGCACTTCCATACATGTTCATACTGATTAACAACCCGATTCGACTATCGGCCGACTGAAAGTCGGTGGTCTGCGCCTATGCTAAAAAATCAAAGCGAAAATACTAAATTCGCAATAATATTTAATATTTTGAGTCGATGTTATACTGATGGTCGGTTACCCAGATTCACCGTACTGTGAAGCGATGTAACCGATGCGATTTTTAACAAGTCTCACGACTTCGAAGATCATTTACATCTTTAGTGATTTCTATCTTCAACCTAAATTAAAAGCTAACCTGATCTAATTCCACTCTGAAGTACGAGGATGTATCACGTATTTCAACGAGGGAGATTTACGCGGGAAGACGAACGGAGCTCCGTTATTTCTCATTTTTCTCCATCGTTCCTCCTCATCACCGGCACGAACGATCACTAATCACCTCGGCGAGGAACCGATTCAGAAAAATGAGGAACAACGCCCAAAAGAGAAGTTTCTCCCGCCACGCTTCCCGCGCAAGCCCTCTAACAGAGTAAATACAAATGAGTAGGTCATTAGGCCTAGGCATAGGCCGCCCGAGCGCGGTTTGTATTTGAACGCGCCAATACGTATGCGGCGCGCACGCACACACTGACAAAATTTAGCGTGGATTAGTGTGTGCGTGCGCGCCGCATACGTATTGGCGCGCGCTCACATACAAACCGCGCTCGGTGCGTTTCTATGAAGATGACCTACTCATTAGTATTTACTCTGCGCCTAACGCTGGTGTCCCGTTGCAGCCGCCGGCATGCTGCCGCCCGCGCCCTTCCCGCCGCCGCACCTGCCGCCGCCCGCGCCCGCGCCCTGGCTCGGTGAGTCACCCGTGCGCCGTGCTGCTCCGACGCCGTCGCCAAGCACTGTTCTTTGGTGACGTTTGCGAGACGGCACTGACCGAAATTCGATATGGCTACTATCAAATGTCACACAAAAGAGGGTAGCATTTATAGGGTGTGTTTCGAAACACACCGCGAGCGTTGCTCGGTGCTCTCGATGGTTCGTTGCGTTCCGAACTGCCAGTGCGCTGCCTCTCCGGCGGTGCGAAGCCATTTATGACGTTGTAAATTTTGTACTGTGAGTGCTGGCGTCTTCGAGGTGTGGTGCTCGCAGTGCTTTGATCTGTGATCGAAAAAACTGTCGGTCATGTTTTAAAAACAACAACATTCAAATAGATCTCTTCTTGTTCGACAAAAACGTGTAATATTAAAATAAATATTTTCAAAACGTGTCGTTCGTTTCGAATTTAATAATTCAGGATCCTTTTAAAGACGGTCAGCGATCACAAGTCTAACTGAAAGATAGTAGTAAATAAAAAACAAATAGTGTTTTTTCCAATAAAAATCAACGATTGACCCTCATCGTTGGGTGTGGCAGGCGTGAACAGCCAGCCGCCGCCGCCCGGCAGCCAGCCGCCGCCACACCTGCCGCTGCCGCCGCACCCGCCGCCGCCGCACCCGCTGCCGCCGCCGCATCCGCCGCACCCGCCGCACCCTTCCCACGCTCAGCTGATGCAGGTGAGTGCCCGACAATTTTTCCTACTTTTTTTTTAAATTTATACAGAGTGTGGTTTTGCAAAACGACGCCCATCTGAGGTCCGGCGCGGGTCTTCCGCCAATACAAACCATTGCTATTCCGCAACGGTATTTCCGTCGAGGGGGGGGGGGGGGTAAAACGGGGTCCACGCGTACGAAGTCGCGGGCGGGCCGCTAGTTACATCTATAATTATTTCTAGGTAAAAAACAAGTTTTCCCTATTTCAATAATACGATTTGATCTCAGGAAAAGATTGAAACTTTTTATTTTATTTATTAGGTACACCGTCGATCTCATACGGTAACGGTACAAAGTTTTTGATTCACTCGACGGGCGGTATGCGTCCAACCGGACGTACGCGTGTTACGGGCGTACGCAGCTTTCTCAGTTTTAATATTTTTACATCCGCTAGACTGTCACCGAGTCTGAACGAAGTTTTGTTTTGTTTCAGGGCGAAAACAAAATGGGTCCTCCCGGCATGCCGCCGCATGCGCCGCCGCCGCCGCCAGGTGCGTACGATAGAAATATTAATACTATGATTTTACTGTATATTTAAACCAATATACCTACGCCAGCGGCACACTTCCGCGCCGCAGCGAAACCCTTCTCACGCACACATCGAACCGTGAGCGGTGTTAACGTAAGCGGGGCACCTGCTTCGCCTGCAGAGCGGAAGTGTGCTGCGGCGTCGGACGTGACTGACAATGTGTGTGCCTGCAGGCGCGGGCCCGGCGGGCGCCGCGGGCGGGCCGTGGCGCGGCTTCGCGTGGGCGCCGCCCTTCCTGGCGCCGCCGCCGCCGCCGCCGCCCGTGTCCAGCAGCTAGGCCGGGCCGCGCCCGCTCGCCGTGGAGCCGTCTCGTCCGGGGTGTTCGGTACTGAATCAGGTGTACGTTTTGCCTTGAACGGATTGACTTTGTGCGCGCTCACCGCGATTATTTATTTGTTTATGAATGGAACGACATTTTATTTATATAGCGGACGATCCGGTGTGATCTCACGTTCGCATGGATGAAATGATGTTGTGTCGTCCGCTGTCCTCGATGTGAACCCTGTGTTGAATGTATCGATATTTGACGTGATTAATCGAAGAATCTGGTCGATAGTGGTGAAACGTAATTTGTTTAGTCGATTTCTTATTTGATCTTGGAATTGATTTAAAAAAAAAACTCAGTTCTTTGATGATCCTCAACCCTACGGTCGCGGTGAAGTGAAGTATAAAGTGAACGCTCTGTTCCGTTTCAACCCATCAAGGTAAAAAGTAAATTTTGATATCGAAATATCGACATTTTTAATTTGTATAATTCTTAGTAGACTAAGCTGTCGTACTTTATATGTATGTACCGATACAATTAAATCTTGATAGTATGTGTATACACAGTATTTTATTTATGTAATAATCAAACTACAAGTAATTTTATCATGTAATTTATTTTTTAGCTGTACGACATTCCTGACACTTTCTAAAGGAAAGGCAGTCGCACATTACTATTATAACAGATTCAACTCATCAATTCTGTGTAATATTATATTAAATGCACAAAATATATCTACAATCACTTAATTATGCTACTGAGATAAATTCAGAATATAAACACAAATGATAAATAAAATTTCATTAAATTAATAGTAAACATAGTCGTAGCGCGAACTGCGCTGTTTCGCATCACGATAATAAATAAATCTTAATATTAGCACACCAATTTAGTAAGTCTCACTCAGGGATTCGAGTATTCAGTTTTGAATCGTGTCATCACATGAGCTTGTATTGTAACCAACAAAATGCAGTTAATTCATAAATTTATAAACATATGATACCTAAGTATATTCTGATATGAAATAAACACATCAAAATTAATTTATTGTTTCTACAATCAGTCTAATCAATGTTATTTGAAGTACTATATTTATTATAGCCTGGAATTGAGTATTTCAATGAAATTCAAGCATCAAACTTTTTAGATACATCTTAAAAGCACCTGTGAGAATTGCAACTAGATACTTTATTTGATTGTAATTAATCCCATAATCCCTGTAGATTTTCAATAGGGGACCGGACAATTTTTATCGGTGTAATTAAGTGTAATAATTACTTCTATGGCATAAAAACGTTGGGGCGTTATCGATATCATTATTTGAAAATCACATTGGTCATCATTTCACTGGCCCCCTTTGTTTGTATGCATCGCCCAAAGGATTTGGTTCGGCAACTTTATTAAATATTGTGATTTTCCAAATGGCTCCTAAGGCTATTTGATAAAAATTATGTGGGCTATTTTAATGGTATGTATTACTGTTTTTTTTTATAAATTTGATACTTTTATAATGGACTCGCCCACCCGAGTCATAAAACTAAATAAACGCGATATTTGAAACTTAAAGTTATAAATTATTTTTATATCTACTTTGTTAAATTATTAAATAATTACAAAAATTCTGGGATGTCCAGTCCCATATTGGATATGAATAAATGGTGGTTTTGTTAAGTAAAGGTCTGTTTATATCTACAGATATTGAGCGTGCGTGCCGGAACCGTACAGACAAAATATTCTTTCCGCGAATAATGGCCGCCCGTATCTGTTGGTGTCTGCGCGGCCGTGTAACGATAGATAGATATAAATACGTTAATAGACACTGTATAATAGAATATTGCACACTCAATGTCCGTAGATATAAACGGACCTTAATGTGTGCACACTATAAAATCTAATAATCGCATATTTATGACATTATCAAGAGAATGGCTAACAGAGATAGTGGCATGAATCATTCTAGATTTACACTACAAAAAAACTATTCCGCCTATCCTGCTTCAAAACATGCTCTTGTGTAAGATTTAAACATATGTACGAGGGGCGGCTGAAAAGTTTTGAGCCTAAGTATCTTCAAGTGTTATTATTGACTCGCGATAAATTTAATTAATTTGCCAATAACCTCCTTAGTATATGTACAAAGTTTCATTTCATTAGCGTCATCACGCTTTTAGTAATTGAGCCGTAAACATCATCATGTCTCAGTCATCCGCGCAATGTACGAAATTGAAGTACACAGTTGTCATAAAATTCCTCAAAAAGAGGAACAAAACGCTGACGGTAACATTTGAAGAGATGTCTACCGTTTATTGGGAGTCTGGGCCTTCATTTGCCATCATGAAAGATTGGATCCGATAGTTCAAGCATGGCAGGGATTCGCTAAAAGATGACCGCAAGTCAGGGCGCCCAGATTTCGCCATTAACGAATAAAATAATGAAAATTTAAATAATCTTGCTTTAAATATCAGCGAATTAAGCTGTGACAGATAGCTGAAGCCATAGGCATTAACAAGGAACGTATCGGTGATATTTTTCATACTCATTTGCACATGAAATAGGGGTGCGCGCGATGGGTGCCAAAAATGCTCACGCCGCTCGACAATCAGTGTCGAGTCACAACTTCGCAGGGGTTTTAGGACATCTTTGGCCATAATCCTAATAATTTTTTTTCTCACATTGTCACTATTGATAAATAGTAGATCCGGCAGTACGATCTAGAGTCAAAATAAGAGTCAATGCAATGGATTCAAAAGGGAAAACGCCGCCGCGGAAATTCAAAGTGGAGCGATCGACACCCAAGCTCATAGCCACTATTTTTGGGATTGTGGAGGAATTTTATTCATTGACTACCTACTTAAAAAAACTACAATAAACGGGGATTATTATGCTGTACTGTAAATAAGAGTGCGTCAAGTGGTTGTTGAAATATTAAGAGGCAAACTGGCGAAAGGAAATCTTTTATTGCAAGACAATTCGCCCGCGCACACCGCGCATTTTGCATGGCTTGCCCCGGGTAAAACTGGATTTCAAGAAATTAATCACCCACTACACAGTTTAGTCCGAATCCCTAGCTATTTTGTCTAATTCTCAAATTGGAAAAAAGACCTCCAGGAACGAAGATTTTTGAGTGACAAAGAAATGAAGGCGGCGTTAAAAGCTCATTTCGAAGGCAAAGATTGCGAATTTTTTTTCAGTGACTTAAAAGCTCTTTTACACAAATGTAAGAAGTCCGTTGTAGTAGAGGGAGATTAAATAGAAAAATATATTTTTTATACTTTTCTATCGGCATTTTTAATACCCTAGGCTCAAAACTTTTCAGCCGCCCCTCGTATTGCAGGGCCTTTCCCCTTTAAGAAAGAATCATTAAGTTAAACCATTTTTCGGATTCTTATTAAGAGATCAGCTAATTAATCTATAATAATCTGTAGATTCTGTAATACATCTGTATCAAATCTAAATATTATTTTGTATGTTAATCAAATCTATATTATTATCATATAGGAAGGCCATCATCTGTAAAGCCTATCTGCGAACTTCCCTATCTTATGGCATCACTTACACCTAGAACGACACTCTCGCTCGTCGATCGATATCAAAAATATCATATCACAATCTTTATCAATTTTTAGAAAAGTTAGTCTAGTCTATATTAGTCAAACAGTCGGACATTCGAATCTACTCGATAAAAAACGGTACAGCGAAGCGAAACCAAAGTAAACTCGGGACCTCTCGGCTCGAGATGAATAACACAAAAAAATATCAGGATAATGAAAAATTCCTAGGCTTACAAAACTTGCGGTGCGTCGCGGGGCGGGGCGGCCTCATCGCGCCTGCTGGCCGGGCCGGGCGGGGCCTCATCGCGCCTCCTTGGCCGTCAGCTTCTCGATGAGCTCCTGCAGCGGCGCCAGCTCGCGCCGCTCGATCAGGTTGAACTCCTGGAGACAAACTCACTATTTAGGACTCAAAGTTAATGCCGAAAAATAACCATTATGAAAAGTATACTCGCGCATTCTTTAACGGTACGTATCCGTAAAGATTAATCGATCCATATTAATATTATAAATACGAAAGTAACCGTCTGTCTGACTCGTTTTTACGTCAAAACTACTGAACCGATTTAAATGGAATTTGGTACACAATTAAGAGCCTGAGAAAGGGCATTATGCTACTTTTTAATGTGAAAAAAAAGGGGATGAAAAGGTCGTGTGGAAGTATCGTCATTTTTAAAACTAGTAATGTATAATATCAAAAACAGGTCTCAGCACTGGCTTCCGTTAAAACTGATATGTAGATATAGAAAACAATAAAAATAAACGATGAATAAAATTGAATAAATCGAAACATGGCCATTCGGCTCTACGTTTCGACACAGCACTGCAGCGTTCAGACCTGCACGAAGAAGATGAAGTGCTTGAAGGAGGTATTGAGGTGCGCCTCCTCGCCCAGCTGCACCACCTCGGGGAAGTGCTGGTGGTAGATGTGCGCGTACACGCGGAACAGTCGCTTCAGGATCGTCTTCGCCATCGACAGGAAGTTCTTGGGGAACGGGACACCTGCCGTGACAACGGGAAACTATTAAGGCTTCCACAGACCAAATGCGGGTCAGTTGCAGCGCGGCAGTAGGCACACTGAAGGCAGCGGCAGTTTCAAAGAGGTTGCAACGCGGGCGGTTGTAAAAAATACAATATTCGTAAACCGCTATCAACGTGCTGCGCTGCACTGCTACCGGCCTGCCTCCGGAGAGTCATGCTAATATGGCCGCCATAGTAATACAACAGCGCGGGCCCGCGCTCGCGCCGCTTCTGTCCCGCTCCCGCGCTGCCTGGTTAGTCGTTCGGCAGTTGCAGTGCGGCGCGGTTGGAGCCCGGGCCCGCGTTCAAATTTGGTGTGCAAAGAGTTTTTTGTATTACAACTTGCGAGGGCCCGTATTCAAACAGCGCTGCTACTGCCCCACGTTTGGTCTGCCGAAGCCTTTAAGTGTGTTTCAATATCCTACTAATATTTTGCGAAAGTTTGTATGGATGTCTGGATGTCTTCTTTTCGTGTCGACAACAAACCTACACAGTGTCAGCCCAAAACTCCGCCACAAGAGTGGCGTTGTCAGTAGCAGTCATCAAATCCTTCTAAGTGCAGTTGCTTGGGCACTCAGGACACGACATCAGGTGCTTCATCGATGTTAACATGTTTGTTACTTTTTCACGCAAAAACTACTGAACGGATTTTGATGAAACTTTGCAGTGTTATAGTTTATAACCCAAAATAACAATAGGCTATTATTTATGATGATCTGTGACAAACTAAATTTCACGCGGCTGAAGCCGCGGGCAAAAGCTAGTTAGTTATAATTGTGACAGTTTTCAGGATGGATGTTTGTCCTTTCTTTCTCACAAAAACTACTGAACTTCTTTGAATAAACTGCAGATTTTTAATTAGGAGGCTATAATGTAGTAGGAATTGACTGTATTAATATTTAGATAACATTTTTTGATGATCTGCAAAAGGATTACCAATTTTTGAAGGGAAAAGTGTTTCATCATCAAGCTGGTCCTGCGCCCAAGTCATGAGGTAGTCGATGTACTTGGGAGCGGAGCACTTGATGGGCTTCTTGACGGTGTGGCCGTCCGCCCAGTGGTACTCGTACTTGGGCCCCGCAGACATCACCGCGCACGACTCCTCGGTGCAGAACTCCGTGATGGTGCCGTACAACATATTTATCTGGTTGAAGAAGTCCACCGCTGCAATACAAGGTAAAACTTTAATGTAGTTTTGATGTATTACATACAAACTTCTGTTTACTGTGTAAGAATATGCATTATCACCAGCACAGCAATAACTACAGGATCAATCATTAAATATTACAAGTCCTAAATGTGATGATAATTATTAATCTCTATTTTTAATAGGTAAATTAGTAATGAGGTAATATTATTATGATATTTTATTACCTTAGCAAATGGAATAAAATCAATTTTCATAAAATAATTTTATCTCATAATAAAGCATTTTACTTAGAATAGAATAGAATAAATTTATTTCCAGAACAATGCACTTTACATAAGTTTACAAAGTAGTTATACTAATAAGAATTCAGGTGACTTCCTAGTAGTCCCCAAACTAGGTAGTCCTGTCTTTTGGGGACTTGAGTTTGGTACAAATGTGTTTGATATAGAACAAAAATTTAAGACCGCTATAGAATAACTGGTTTTGCAAGTGATTTCAAAAATTTACTTATTCAAATTATACAGAAAAATAAACAATATAGTATAGTATAATGGGCTGATCAAATAAGTATGTGTACTTAAATGTAAAGGAAGTAGGTACACATGATAAATAATTTATCTTTTGGATTGATGATTCACATGACATCCTGCAATTTTATTATGATCAAGCAGCACTGATTTACATTGAATGCAATGATATTCAGAAACACCCTATCTATACACATAAAGAGGAATTGAAATTCAATAACTCAGCAATGTTGTAGAAAAGTTGTGTCTCTGTAGCTATGAAGTGAGCACTGATACTGACTGTTGACGGCGACCCACTCGTTGAGGTCCTCGCCCTCGGGCAGCATGACGGCGAGGCGCAGGTTGCCGGAGCCCAGCGTGGCCGCCGCGTGCCGCATCAGGTCGTACTGGTGCGTGCCTTCAGGAATGTTCTTCTTCGGCTTGAAGGTCTTGTTCGACCGGCTCCCGCTGCGGGACACAGAACGACACCTCACTGATGCGCCGACATAAATAAACCGTTCCGAACGACAAAGAAACGGACGAGCGGTAGGTGTGTCCAGAAACGAGTGAGAACGATCGCTATTAGAAGCGTCGGTGGGGCCCTGGCAGGGCGACGATTTAGCTCGAATTTACATATTTGTTTGAACAATGCCGAAACTTGACTACGGACGTAAACAAGACGTCAGCGAGACGGAAAATGATCAGTTAAAAATAGACTTGTATCGTCGAGCCCTATGAAAATACTTACAATAAAAAACTCATTTTGCAGTTTGATGAAATTCCAACTGTAATCTAGAATAAATGTATATTTCATAAAACAGCACCGAACCATTAAAAAGGTTATTTAGAATAAATAAAATCACAATCAATTCTATTGTAATGCAGTTGTCAAAATTACTGAATGAATGGATGGATCATAGAGAAAAGTAATACATGGATGGATCATGGATCATTCCCATGAAGCTACAGATAAAAATGGAGGGCAAAGTTGGGAACAAAACTTGAGTCAAATACCTACTTATATCTATCTCGCTCTCTGTGGCCCTACCTCTCTTTTTAGTGTGAACTGTAGTATTGCTATCTTCTTATTTAAATCTCCTTGTAAATTCTTCGAAATAGCCAATTCACTAACCAAATAAGAATTTAAATAAATAAATAATTAATATTTGAAACTTAGATTACCTAGTTAAATAAAAAATCACAAAATTGTCGGCCATTTAGGCTTAATGTGTTGGCGAATCAGGGAATTACAATCCCAATTTCTGAGGTATCGGTAATGTGGCAACATCGGCCGAATCCGGCCCATCATGGCGGTTGTTTACTATGCAGTTGATTTCGTTTGAGATTTTTCAAGGGACCTTATCATTGTTTTGTCTGAAGAAATGGTGCAAAATTGTATAGTGCGTGGTTGCGGTAGTTCGTGTTGTCCTGGAAGTGATATAAAATTCCACGCGTAAGTGTTTATTTCGTGATTTCTGACAGTGGATCATTGTTAACATATTTCTTTGTATTTTCACAGTAATTACTTCCTAAAACGTTTTACCAGTATTTAAACTTATTATTAAATGTTACATATGTCAAGAAAAAGAAGATTTTACATTGAGTTTCATTGACTTTGAGCAAATTTAAAATTTTTGTTTCTATAAGACATTTTGAAGTAGTATGACCATATTGAGGATATAATCAGTGTGTGTCTTATTGTTATGAGTAAGTACGGTTCCTTGGGATCGGTATGAGTGCACCACATACAGGGACCATGGTTTTAACTCTTAAGAGTACATCGCAGGATATGTATTAAAAACAATGCTACTTTATACTTCTTCTACTGCTACTTTATTCTAATTAATTATTTGTTACTTGTGCTGTTAATTACAATCTCAATCCGTAAATAATTTCTTCTTTCTACCGTGTTCGTACTAATGTCCTCGTAAAATCATCGTAACCGATTGTTGTAATCGGATTACATGAACATCACTCGACCATGTATGTCCATTTGGACATATCGGAATGGCACGCTTTGACGATCAACTTGCTGTATCTACTCTAATCCATATCTGTGATCATTCCATTTGTGATTCCATTCCATTCTGTCAGAGATTCAAAAATGATGTTCCGTGTCCGTGAAAAATGCGCGATTGAATTTTGATTTTGGCAATAGTGCAATTTGTTTGAAGTACAAGAACACGCCACAAGTCCACAAGTGAAGTGACATTGTTTCTGTTTTTTTATTACAAATTAATTATGAAAATTATTAGAAAATGACAAGAATTTAAAAATAAAAACTTTTAGCATATCATTTAAAATTTATTTTGTTTTGTATGAACCAAAAAATAGTTATTATTTCCATTGCTTATAAATAAATAAAACCATTAAAATTGGAATGAGCCTTTATCGATTCCTATTCGAAAGTTCAATGCAAGAGAATTATATTAATTGAATAGGTAGGTACCAACATTTTTAAGTGGAAGTATTATATCTAAACCCATCAGAGTAGGTGGGTGATCAACGAATTCATGATAAAAGTTATAGATCATTAGAGTGGATTGAACACACCACAGATATGGATAGATGCAGCATGTGTCAAAAATTGTATGAAGCCGAGCGTGCCACTTTTTAAACGTCATTAGTGTCATTTTAGCGAATTTTAGTGATTGCCGCAACGTAAAAGTAATCGTATCATCGTACTGCATTCGCAAAGTCATCGAATGAACTTCACTTTACGATAACGAAGTAACTGAAATCGTTCTTTAGAGGAACTGAATACTACTTTGCAAGCTATTACCATCTAGTAGGCTTGATGTAGAAGGTAAGTGGTGCGCAACAAAGTTGGAAATAACATTCATCTGAGTCGTCAAAGTTTCGACCGAGTGTCTTACGAGTGGGGTTAACACTTACATGGCCTCCGTCGCCTATTTGGAGGTGGTGAAGCAAACATTTCCATTTCCGAGGATGATGAGGATGAATCTGAAAAAGACGACTCGGATTTCGAGCTTTTCCTTCATCCGGGCCGACAGAAGTCAACCTTTCACCGTCACCACTCTTTACCCTTACACTCTGCATCACTTATATTTCCTATTTGCACATTTTAACTGTGTTTTATTCTTATTTTATACTTAAAACAAGAAGATAAAAATTTTTGCTGTGTAGGCGGCAAAAATCACAAACGCTATGAAATGTCAAGTTGACAGATCACCAATTTCCATAGAAAGTGGTGCCAGCTGGTGTATGAAGAAGGTAAACTTGATGATAAAGCAGAGACAATTGGTAAGTTTTCTTATACCATAGACTAAAATAAGGCAAAGATCATAGACAGCTCTCTCAACAGAACGCTGTGTTTTATTAAGGCACATAATAAAGTATGTTTGTGAGATAGATTCCCGAGTTATGAACGTTTGACTGCATTTCGGAACGTACTGCAAATCGCAAGTGTCAAACACTCAGCTTTAATCTGTGGTGTGTCAGTCAAATGTCACTCAAACGAAATAATTGTAACTTGGTACCATTGCAGTTATGTTTGGAAATTAAATGTTTTAAAAATGATTTTCATTCGATAGCAGTATCACAGTGCTAATTATTAAAAGTGTAATCAATATTTTATTACAGGTAAGATAAAAATATATATTTTTTGAAGCATTCATCGAATTGCATTTCTTTGGTAACTGACGGTAGTTTAGGTTCGTGTAGATCATTATTATTTTTTCTAAATTAAAATATCATATAACACTAATATTACACCCCCACGATTGTAACTTTTATTACATTAGTATTCAATATTATCGAGTTGTGTTTAACACAATACTGATATTTATGAACTAATTAGGTCAATTTGGTCCTGTGACAATTTATGGTTTAGCATCAGCCTAAGTACTTTTGTTAAGATTTAAACATTTTAATTGAACTGTTCTTCTGTTTTAAAGGCAGGTATTTGATTTTCTAATACTGGAATCATAAATTTCTACTAATTTTGGTAATATTTTTTTACAAATTGTTTTTAGCATAAACAATCATTAGTGATTTCATTGAATACTTACAGAAAATACCCTAGTAGGTACTTATGAATTTGTTTTATATTTAGTAAAATTTACATTGTATTTGTTTATAATATATTTTTTGTGACTGAATATTATAAAACTTTTTGTGGTAGTAGGTACAACAATTCCCAATTAAATAACATGTAAATCTTGCAAGGTACTACTATGTTCCAATAATTTCTTCTACCATAATTTCCTGGAAACTATAATACCTTTTCAAGGCGAGAGTAAGAATAAGAAAAACTTTATTTGACACAAAAATAAAATAAAATACAGAACAAAGGGACTTAAAACTATACATGCATATTTTTGTGCAAAAAGGCGCCCGCTCAGCATTAATCAAGCCACTCGTGCATGCATGCGTGCCCCGACACTGGTTTTCAGGGAGTGCCTCTCCAATCAACATTTTAAATTACAGAAGAAAATAATAATAATCAAGACATTGACAAGAGGGCGCCACTATCTCACCGCTCCAATTTTTTGCCATGTTGAGCAAGTATGGCAAATACTAAAAAAATAGAGTAAATAGGCACTTACAGGGCAGATATGAACCATCCTAGATTGCATCTCACTTAACAACAGGTGCGATTGCAGTCAAATACCTCCCTTGTCCTGCTTAAAAAAAGAAAAATAAAATGGTTTATTGGGAATTTGGCAGTAAGTAAGATTATACTAAAAATATACACAAATAGTGGGATAATGCTAAGGTATTTGAGTTGGTCTTATAAAAGGACAATGTCCATAAAATTTTGTATGGACAAAAAACCCAGAATCGTATGGGATTAAATGGGTGTCAGTAGTTTTCTTATTATGCACATTTTACCCCACCGAAAGCTCAATGTCGAATTCAATGGGGTATAGAAGTTATAGACTGACAAAGTTTGTGTAAAAAGTCATAGGTTACTTGTGATTTTTACCAGTTTTTAACTTAACCTACCCAAGGTTCAGATGGTCGCGTATCTACGTATTATGCGCGTAAAAAGATTTTCTATTAGTATCAGTATAGGACTCCTTATGCATACTGCATATTTTCCATTCCCTGTTTGTGGCTCCATCCTTCGCTCTCTACGTCGCTTTAGGCGTGTGTTGACGAGCCGGCTTCCGGCCGCGGCGACGAACCGGCCCGACGCCGAACCGTATAGAAACCGGCTCGTCAACCAACACACGCACTCGTCGGCGCCGCCCGGATAGGAACCTCTTCGACACGCTCTTATTTACGCTGCTGGTGGCGCGAACCTTTCCTCGTTTCGTGCTTCAAGCGTCGCCTGTACTTGCAGTCACCGCACCGGCACGGCGCGCGCATGGCGCCGGGCGGGCGCGCGCGGGCGCGGTGACCGGCATGGCGGACGGCGACGCGGGCGCCGGCCAGCACGACGCCGCGCTGCTGGCGCCGCTCACCGAGGACACCTTCCTGCACAACCTGCACGTGCGCTACAAGCGCGACCTCATCTACGTGAGTCGGCGGCGACGGCTCCTGTGGGATGTCGTTCGAAACTCTCGTCTCGAACTATCGTCACATCCCACAGTCCATTCCGGTCTGCGATGTCTTCACAGAACTCTGAACCGATATAATAAATGTTGTTGTGTTGCAGACGTACGTGGGCAACGCGCTGGTGTCGGTGAACCCGTGCCGGCCGCTGCCGCTGTACTCGGCCGAGCTGGTGCGCGCGTACCTGGCGCGCCCGCCGCACCAGCTGCCGCCGCACCTGTGAGTCCCGCCGCCGCGGCTGCGGTTCGTTCCGTCTCCCTGCACGCTGACGATTCATTGTTTGTTTACACCTCTTTTCAGTTACGCGATCACCGCCGCCGCATACAGATGGGTGCGCGACCGAAATGAAAGCCAATGCATCGTCATCACAGGTGAGATTTCGCCGCCTCGCTCGCAACTCGTTCGTTTAAATTAAATTACTCTTGCACCTTAAAATTGATTTATACTTAGAATAAAAAAAAATCAGACTCACTTTTGCCGTTTCACCGTTTCGAAACTTCGAACATTTCGTGATCTCAAACTCGTATTCTGTCAAGCGAAAGGCTACCTATAGCAATGTAAGACACCGGGTATTAACGGGCGCGTTTGGCCGAAAATAGAATTTGTAAGAAATTTTGTAAGCAAAAGCCAAAATGGCGATCGCTATAGCAACTGCCGAAAACTAGCCTGTTTTCGGCGAGGACACGTTTGCTGACTTCAATAGTGACGTTTTTCATAATTTTTTTTAGTAGTGATAGCACTTACCGCTCAGCGATCGCGATTTTAACCGCGCCGGGGTATGCACTGTGCAGGCGAGAGCGGCGCGGGCAAGACGGAGGCGGCGCGCGTGTGCCTGCAGTGCGCGGTGGTGGCGGGCGGCGAGCCCGAGGCCGGCGCGGGCGGCGCGCTCACGGCCGCCGGCACGCTGCTCGAGGCCTTCGGCAACGCCGCCACCGCGCGCAACCACAACGCCTCCCGCTTCGTGCGTACAAGCTGCGGAGCGTGCGCTCGCGGCAATGCGAACGTTTGCTTCGCTGTACTGGCTTACGTGTGAACACCGGCGACCTCGCTGGCTGACAGCATAAGCGTTTGTTCAAAAATATTTTTGTGGATTTATGTTAAAATTCCTCATCTGATCTGATGTCAGCTATCGTCAACTCCTGCGAGGTTGCAGGTGTCTTACGAATGAACCTGTACACATCTTGTAGATCAATAAGTTACAAATGATGAGAAACCCCTGTTGACTGACTTTATTTTATGGAGTTACTAGCTTTCCGCCCGCGGCTTCGCCCGCGTGGAATTTTGTCTGTCACAGAAAAACTTTATCGCGCGCGTCCCTGTTTCAAAAACCGGGATAAAAACTATCCTATGTTCTTTCCCGGGACTCAAACTATCTCTATGCCAAATTTCATCAAAATCGGTTGCGAGGTTTAAGCGGGAAAGCGTAACAGACAGACAGACAGACAGACAGACAGACAGAGTTACTTTCGCATTTATAATATTAAGTTGGGATTAGTTGGGATTTAGGATTTACACCATTACAATAGTAATTCAGTAAGCAATTAGAATTTTATGAAACAAAATTATTCAGTCGTTTAGATCGACCCACGATTTTTATTCTGACGCCGATACCGTGTCGCGTATTTACATTACCTAAATTTTTTATTTTCAGGGAAAATTATTAGAAATAGAATTTGATTTCAAAGGGCAACCCGTCGGAGGACACATAACACACTGTGAGTACCAAAATCATTTTACGTTCCAATCGTAGTCATCGAAACGTACGTCATCAAGTAACCTAACCGTTATTTTTTATGTGCACATGCAGACCTTTTGGAAAAGGTAAAATAGAATGGAACTAATAAATAATTAGAATGCGATGAACCGTGGGTGCAGCGTGTGACGTGTGACGTGTGCCTTGTGCGCAGGAGCGGCTGTGCGGCGCGGCCGAGGGCGAGCGCAGCTTCCACGTGCTGTACCAGCTGCTGGCCGGCGCCGACCCGCACCTGCTCAGTCAGTACCGCCCCGCTTGATAACTGACACTGCATTTAAAAATCAACTTCTGTTGATCTCGTTATTGTTAGCTTTGGGGTTTTTGAAATTTCTAATTACACGTGATGCTCTTTCATTTGATACCCCACTCGGGTGCATTTATAGACGTTCGGTTTTCCATTCCCACTCACCCCCGATGACTTGTATAACGGCTAGCGAACATAAAGAACGTTACCTCTTTTTCCGTCGGGAGTTAATTAAAATGACCGAAAACGGATTAGTATTTATTTTGAATCGAAACGCAGAGCGGTAATCGGGTTCGTAGTTTTTACCGCGCTGCGTTTCGAGCTTGAATCACGCGCGTGACTGGCGAGCTCGGTTCGCAGAGAGGCTGCGGCTGCAGCGCTCGTGGGAGCACTACCGCATCCTGCGCGGCGGCGGCGGCGCGGCGCCCGAGCCCGCCGCCGCCTCCCCNCCGGCCCGCGCGCCGACCGCGCCGACACGGAACACTTCGCCTTCACCAAGGTGAGGCATCGCATGACCGCATCTCTTACAAGTCGTAGAGTTGTCTGCAGGGTGTATTTAATGATTTCAAATTCATTCTATTTTATTTAAAAAAAAAATACTTTTGATTGTATTTTTATATCTATTGCAATCTATTGTTTTTAAAATGTCTTTCGCCCGTATTCACAAACATTACTATGAGGTCTCACAGTGCGCGTGCGGTGGATGCACAGGGTGACACACGAACCAATCACAGAGCTTTATTCAACTCTGTGCGTTTGATTTGCTGCTTTACATAAGCAAGTATCGTTTGTGAATTCGGGTGTTTGACATTTTTGTAAAAATAGGTTTATACCAATTGCGCCTGTTAAAATTTACTAAAAAATTAGTGTGCTTTTTAAGTTTCTTGTTTATTTAAAATACAATAACAATGCATACATCACATCGTTTATCTTTGCTTCATACATTAAAAATTAAAAGAGTCACTAGAAAGATAGAATACGAAAGTCATCTTCCAAAACGGAGTCGCCGTGCCTGTATCGTGCGCGTGCGTTGCAGGCGGCCATGGCGGCGCTGGGCTTCGGCGGCGGCTGGTGCGGCGCCGTGGTGCGCGTGCTGGCCTTCGTGCTCAAGCTGGGCAACGTGCAGTTCGAGCCGCAGCACAACATCGACGGCACCATCGGCGTGCGCCCCAACCACGACTACGGTACGCCGCGCCGCGCCCGCGCCACACGATTTATTTTATTTATTTACATATTTACATTATACGCCGTGCCCCAGAATACAAAGATAAGCTGGCGCCGTAAGAAGGACACTGTCATGACTACTTTGGGAAAAATAAGAAGTAAAATCTATCTTAATTTTTTTTTTCTTATATCTTATTAGTCATGACCATGTCCACTCTGCGGCGGCTTATCGTTGAATTTTGGGACAGTATGTATACAAGCGTAAGAAGTATGTATGTAGAAGAAGAAGCAGGCACTCAATTAGAAGAGCGGTCGCCCGGCAAGCGAAAGGTCGTAGGTTCGATTCCCGCCTTGGGCAATTGGAACTTTTCAAGTTGTTATTTAAGATTGAGTATGTATCTACATGTTTGATTAAACAGTGCCATAAATCCTCTTGCATTTATCAGAAGTTATAAATTCGTGTGTCTGCGGGCAGAGCTGCGCGAGGCGTGCGCGCTGGTGGGCGTGGACGAGGCCGAGCTGCTGGCGGCGCTGGGCGCGGCGCCCGCCGCCGACGACGAGCGCGCCGGTCTGTCCGTTTCATATTGCCTGACCGCAGGCTACATAAGGCACAGGCTACTGTCGCATAAGCCTGATCCGTGAGCACGTAGAATCCCGTCCAATGAACCCAAGCTACCCATCCTTATCGCTCGCGCGTAATTATATTTCTGTTGCGACTGTGCGACGCGCGCCTGCAGTGAGTGTGCGAGCGCGACAGCAACATAATTACGTGCGAGCCACAAGGATGGGCAGCTTGGAGTCATTGAACGGGATTCTACGTGCTCACGGACCAGGCTTTAGAAGGTTATACTGACTTCGTGGGTGTATAGGTGAGGTCATTTTGAGAATACAAGTTCGCTCATTTGACCCCAAGTGAGCTACTATTTTTAAATTATATTTTTGTTTTTATTTATTTATGTCGATCTAAAAACCGTTTATTTTTTTTTCTCTCGTGTTTTTAACCCATTGAACTAAGGGTTAAATTGGCGAACTTGTATTCCCAAAACGACCTTACCTATACAACCACGAAGTTTGTCTAACCTTCTATCAAACACCCTGTATAAGACTGTTTTTACTACGAGTTCCATTTTAGTGAGATCGATAAAACGCGTGTCACGTAAACAGAAACAGTTCTCGTTTACGCATTTTCATAGAAATTGATGAAAATATTAGCGAGTAGAGTTGTCTGACGAGCTCGCGGGCGGGTGTACGCAGACGACAGCTCGACGGAGGGCTCGTGCGCCGGCTACGCCTGGGAGAGCGCCGAGTGGGCCGGCGCGCTGCGCGACCGCCTGCTGGCCGCCACCTACGCGCGCCTGTTCACGTGGCTCATCAACGCCGTCAACGACGCCATCAAGGTAGCCCGACTGCCGTGTAGCGTGCGCCGTGTGCCGCGTGCCCTGTGACGTGTGATTTGACTGACGCGCCCTCTGTCGCAGCCGGCCGAGGCGGGCAAGCGCTGCTCGCTGGGCATCCTGGACGTGTACGGCTTCGAGTCGCTGGCGCACAACTCGCTGGAGCGCCTGCTCATCAACTACGCCGCCGAGCGAGTGCAGGTAACACGTTCATTGTAGACCAACGAACGTCACGTCTGCGAAACGTTAACGGATTTTAATTTGATAAAATCAATAGTACGAAAATAATATTTTTTAATTAATTTAAACAGGTTTTAATGCGGATAGGTAATACTTAAGTATTACCTGTGATTCTCTACATAATATTTCGTAATAATTTATGAAGAGAGCAAATGAAAAACCATATTTTTCTGGGTTTGTTTGGAAAGTGACGTCTTTATTTTTTTTTCTTATTTTGCTTTTAAATTGTTCTTGACAACCTGTTTGCCTGACGTTTAAATTAACTAAATTATGCAACGCGAAAGTTTAAAATTAAGAATATTTTAAATTGGGCGAATAAAAAAATCATAACTTGAAACTAGTTACGTTTACCGAATTCCGCTTGTCATTGACACAACGCGTCCGTAGTCACGAAAGCATCGTCGTAACACGCTGGGTGTACGCAGGCGGCGGTGACGGGCGCCACGCTGCGGCGCGAGCAGGAGGAGTACGCGCGCGAGGGGCTGGCCTGGGCGCCGCTGCCCTTCGCCGACCACGAGCTGCACGCCGACCTGCTCGACGTCGTGAGTACACCGCCACCGGACACCAGCCACCAGACACCAGCCACCAGCCACCCTGACCGGCTCCCGATACACTCTGTCGCTCACGCACACGCATTCTCGCTGTCGGTGTTCCAAATTATCTATTTATTTTACATGGAAAACGAACAGCATGTATATGCAACAAATATAGATCAGGCAGTTCAGATCGAATATGCCTTACGCAAAATTAAATTAAATATACGATCGGATAAACACACAATTCACCCACTGTACACACACATTCGAAAAATAAACCCTTTCTGGCTTCATTTTACCCTTCTCGGCAAGGTGAAAGGGCGAGTGCACACAAGTCAGTTCGCGTGTCCTTGCCGCAGGGCCCGGACAGCGTGCTGGGCGCGCTGCGCGAGGCCACGCTGCGCGGCGGCGGCGACGCCGGCTTCCTGGCGCGCCTGCAGCGCCGCCGCCACCCGCGCCTGCTCGTCGTGCCGCCCGACCACTTCCAGTGAGTGCCCCGAACGAAACGCTGTTTTTGTAATGCTTCCCAAAAATATTACTTTTTCTAAATGTTTCTGTTTGGCGATCGCCCGGAAGCGGTGAGTCCCGGTAAAGCCTGGTCCGTGAGCACGTACAATTTTGTCCAATGACCCCAAGCTACCCATCCTTATCGCTCCCGCGTAATTACATTGCTGTCGCAACTGTGCGACTCGCGCCCGCAGTGAATATGCGAGCGCGACAGCAACATAATTACGCGCGAGCGATAAGGATGGGTAGCTTGGGGTCATTGGACAAAATTATACGTGCTCACGGACCAGGCTTTAGGTCTGGACGAGTGGCGCTTCTTGATCGAATCGAAAATTGAATCCGTTCACGAAGCGAATTCGTTCAGAAACATTAATATTAATTTATCAATGTCAAAATGAAACAGTTTTATTTGTGTGATCCTACGCCTATGTGGCATACCGATATGAGTACGACCGACCGACGCCTACTCGATATTCAATTTCAAAGTATCGATACTAAAAAAGTATCGAGTGTACAGTCGTGTCGAGTCGTTCGATTCGATCCCCACTGAGGTCCGGCGCGCGGCGCAGGGTGGTGCACTTCGGCGGGCCCGTGTCGTACAGCGCGCGCGGCATCGTGGAGCGCAACCGCGACGCCGTGTGCCGCCGCTGCAGCGCCGCGCTGGCCGCCGCGCGCGAGCCGCTGCTGGCCGCGCTGTTCGCGCCGCCCGCCGCGCCGCCCGCCGCCTCCGTCGCCGGTTAGTGCTGACAAATACTTAAATATTTAACACGAATTGTTTTTTTTTTCATAATTAAACCAAAGGACAATGACCAAAATTGTATGGAGTGTGGTCCAAATGTCCACCACTAACGAGACCTATGTAGTAAAATAGTCTACTAAATACTGATTCATTATAACCAAATCGCAATCAAAAATATGCTGTCAGTAAAAAGTTATGACTGAATGAAAAGTCTGTTTTTTACCTTTTCATCCGAAAAATGTTCCTTGTAAGAAATATTAGGCATGATCGACCCCCCCCCCCCTCCCTTAAAGCCGGGTAACAGAGAAAATGGCGAAAATGAGGTTTTCATTTTTCATTTTTGAGGTACTAAACAGTAAAATAAAAGGCTAAGATTTTTTTTGGGCATAGTTGAGGATATTTTCTGGGGCTATTAACGGATGGAAACACGATTTGATGAAGTTGAATCGATAGAATAAATTCCCAAAGTTACCTCTATTCGTTTTCTAANTGGCGCTGCTGCGGCGCAACGGCTGGTGCGAGTCGATGTGCGCGCGCGCGCTGCTGGCGCGCTACGGGCTGCTGGCCGCCGCGCGCGCCGCCTCCCCCGCGCCCGCCGCGCCCGCGCCCGCCCGCGATGACCCCGTGCGCGCCGCGCGGGCGCTGCTGCGCGCGCTGCCCATCCCCAGCGCCGAGTTCGCCTACGGCCGCACTAAGGTGTTCATCAGGAGCCCGCGCACGGTGAGCGTCGGTCGGGGGACCTCTTCGGGCGCCGTCGATTTGTTCCGTGAATTTGTAAAGGAAACCGTTATTTCTTTGCTATGGTAACCGTTTTTTCTTTTAGTAAATGAAACATAATTTGCATTTGTAGTAAGTAAGAAGGTACCTACTTATAAGATAAGTCATGTATAATTCAAAATTCTACTATTATTGATATGATTAAATGTCTTATGTGTGCATGGAACGCTTCGGAACAAACTGCATTGAATCTAAATTTGTTGTGTCAGCCTATAATTGTTGTTGCATTGTAACTTTGTTCATAATTGTTATTTTTAAGTGTACATGTTGTTATGTAACAATGTTGGTAGACCTAATAAATAAATAAACCGCGGCCCTCGCGCAGGTGTGGGAGCTGGAGGCGCTGCGCGGCGCGCGCGTGGGCGCGCTGGTGGCGGGCGTGCAGCGCGCGTGGCGCCGGCGCCGGGCCCGGCTGGCGCGCCGGCGCCGCCACCGCGCGCAGGCCGTCATCGCGCGCGCCTGGCGGGCGTACAAGGTGATCGCGGCGGAGCCGGCCCGTCCGTCTCGGTTCGGTTCCTCCTCCGAGTCGGTCGAGTCGTTTTATACGGGTTGGAATAATATAGATAGAAAATATTATTCAAAAAAACATTCTTTTATTTTCGGAAAGAAAGAGAACTGCATTTAAAGATTCCCGAAAACTTTTTGAAAATTCACCACCATACCTACCATAAAATTTTCATTTAAAATTTACGATCATGATATTTAGAAGAAGATAGGTACCGATCGTACTATAATTTGAAAATTAAATGTTATTTAATAACGGCGTTTCGCAGGTCACGCGCGATTTACCCGAAAGGCAGGCGTTACAAAGACAGTTGCAGGTATTTATGTTCGTTCCACACGCCGCACGACCGGGTTCCCTGCGCTTTATCGAAAGCCGTTTCATCGAATGTCGTTTTATCGATGAAACGGCTTTCGATAAAACGTAGACAACCCCTCACGGCCCGGTCGTGCTTGGCTGACGGCGGTGTGGCGCAGGCGCGGCGGCGCGTGGCGGCGCTGGGCGGCGCGGGCGCGGCGGCGGCGCTGGNCGCGCGCTGTGGCGGCGCCTGCCCGCGCGCCACCTGTCGCCCGCGTGCGCCGCGTGGCCGCCGTGCCCGCAGCCGCGCCTGCTGGGCCGCGCCGACCAGCTGCTGCGGCGCCTGCACCACCGCTGGCGCTGCCGCCTGTACCGCGCCGCCTTCGACCAGACGGCGCGCAACCGCATGCGCGAGAAGGTGACGGCGAGCGTGCTGTTCAAGGAGCGCAAGCTGAACTACGCGCGCAGCGTGGCGCACCCCTTCGTGGGCGACTACGTGCGCCTGCGCGCGTCGGCGGCGTGGCGGCGCGGCGCCGGCGCGGCCACCGGCGACAAGTACGTCGTGTTCGCCGACCTCGTGGGCAAGGTGAGCCGCCGTCTCCGCTGACTCCGCTCGGCGACTCGCGTTATTATTTTTTGTTTAAAACTTTATTTCGAGGACTCGTATTTACATACGAAACTGTATGCTCGTTTTTATTTTTATTTATTACGAAAACCGACAGCAATACAAATAATGAAACCTAAAATTATGTATCTGCTCAGCCATTTATAAATAATCGCGAGCGGCGTCTGCCCTTGCAAGATAAACGTTCTGACTGTATCACAGTTCACGACTTGCAAGTCTTATCACATGAGTCAAATTTGACGTGTCGACGTAAAAAAGTTTTTGAGTCATGAGCCCAAGTGTCAGTGGCCCCAAACGGTTCGTGTAAATATACACACCGAACGGTCCCTTCGATGTATGGAAACATGAATTTTCGTAAAATTCTAAACAATAACCGGTGCTTTTTGTATGGAGTTTGACAGATTTTTGACGTTTGTCAAAGTTAAAGTGAGACGGTGCAAGTCAGCCTAACTCGTGCCCCGGCGCAGGTGGCGCGCTCGAGCGGGCGCGTGTCGCGCTGCCTGGGCGTGGTGTCGACGGGCGCGCTGCTGCTGCTGGAGCCGCGCTCGCTGCGCGTCAAGCGCCGCGTGCCCGCGCACGCCGTCTACCGCCTGTCGCTGTCGCCCTACGCCGACGACCTGCTCGTCGTGCACGTGCGCGCGGTCAGTGCCGAGCCCACGTGGCCGGAACGAATACCGACTGCAACCCGAGCCGAGCTGGGCTTATTCCACTATTCCCCGTTGACAATCCCCGTTATAATAGGATTTTATTTTTAACATTATAAGCTCCAATTGGCGTTAACGGGGAATAGTGAACAAAAAGTTCACTAATCCCCGTTGACGGGGATTGTCAGTGGGGAATAGTGGAATAAGCCGCGAGCTGACTGCGCGCCTCCCGCACGCTCCCCGTCCGTACCGGAGCGCCGGAGTGACGTCACGGCCGCCGGGCGCGCAGCGACTCGACCGGGCCGTGCCTCTCGTGCCCCGTTAATCTGTTTTAAAGTTGTCATATTCGTTCGCCTATATTCTTTTGTTGAGATATCACGATAATAATTTGTGACATGCGAAGCTTCTGCATTTGTAAAATTACTACAGTTCTAGCAACTCACGAAGGCGAGTGACGTGAGTGACACTTGTACGTGTACACGCACATGACGACAGTGTAATGTCGTAATGTATAATTATGTCAACGTGAAATTGTGAACTCTGTCAGTTTATAATATTACGTGTTAGATTGTAAACTAACAATGGGTTAGGTTAGGTTAGATTGTAATTTAACTACGTCAGATTATAATCTGACGGAATTCACAATTTTACGGTGACAAAACTTGAAAAACGAACAGTGGCGAGCCACCACACACGTTAAGCTCACTCGCCTTCGTGGATTGCAACAAGTATAATAGTTTTAACGTGAAACGCGCGTGTGTGTGCGCAGTGCGGCGGCGCCGAGAGCTCGCTGGAGGAGCTGTCGCAGTGCTCGTCGCGCGACGCGCCCGACGCGCCCGGCTGCCTGTTCGGGGTGAGTGCCGCGGTGACGTGTGACTGTCTGCCTGGTGTGGTGGCGTGGCGTGACGTGACGTGTGTGGTGCGCAGGGCGAGGGCGCGTGGCGGCGGCGCGGCGACGTGGTGCTGCGCACGTGCCACGTGCTGGAGCTGGCCACCAAGCTGTTCCTGGTGGTGCAGAACGCCGTGGGCGCGCCGCCGCACGTCAACATCGCCACCGAGTGAGTTCGACTCAGTGTCGCATTACAAATTGACACACACTAAGGCTGAGTTGCACCACCTGACTTTGACTGTAACTATAACGAAAACCGGTGTATTTTGTATGGAGTTTGACAGATTTTTGACGTTTGTCAAAGTTAAACTGAGATGGTGCAACCCACCCTGAGTGATCAAAATATGTGGTCATTATCCACTGCGGTATCAGTGCTCGACGTTCGAATTATCTTTAGTACAACGCGAGCGATGTAAACTGTTTACATTGTGACGTCTGCAGCGATGTGTTCTGTTTTTGGGCATATTGCTGCGACGCTTCCCTAAAATTCATACCGGTCCCGATACCCAAAAAATGTTATATCGGAGCCGTCGCCGGAAAAATCGAACGTCTCTCTCCGCTCGCGGTCGCGATCGCGGTCGACGAATCGACATCGACTCGTTGAATGCGATCGACGAAACGTTTAAATCGTTCACGTGTAAATTTCGTTTGCGCGTTTCGATTTAACGCAGCGTCCCCGCGAACGCTGGAGCGTTTTTCACAACTCCCACCCCGGGAGACGATTCGATCCGGCGGCGGCCCCGGCTGACGACGTGCGCGTGCGGCAGGTTCGAGGCCAACTTCGGGCAGCAGACGGTGACGGTGTCGTTCCACGCGCTGGGCGGCGGCGAGCCCGGCGCGCGCCTGCTGCGGCGCGGCAGCCGCATGGACGTGCTGCTGTGAGCGCCGCGCCCGCGCCCGAGCCGACGTGCAGCTCCGATGCGGCGGGCTCGAAGGTGGACGTTTCTTAAAAAACAAAACGCCGATGATGCGGTTCCCGGTGATTCCGTTTGGGACCAAGAGCGCGATCGAAATCACGAAATTCCAGCGTCGATGAGTGTCGTGCGGATGCAATTTTAGGATGTGCCGGCTTTAATGACGTCAGTGAGCGACCTCGTGTTCGGTTCTATGCGACCGTTGAACGTCCTCAGCTTTAAATATTTAAGTAAGTTATGTCTCGACGCCCGGTGCGAGCCCCTGAACTTTTCTTAGGGGTGTTTCGCGGGAGCGTTTTTTTATTAGAGTAATTGATGCGATATTTATGTATGTCGACGATTGTATAGAACGGGTCTGACGCGCAGGGTTCCGGGATGCTCACTTGCGTTGCGAGTCTCATGACACGATTGAAGCCATCCCTCGAATGCTTTGATCAACGATACCAACTAGATATCGGGTCAGTGCAAAAGTTACGTCTCGGGAAATAAGAGCGCACTTAAGAAGTGACTTCTTTTATTATAATTTGTAATTAATCACATTTTTCGTCTGGCATCAATTTAATTTAATATTCTTAACTCTTTAGAATTCCCATGTATACTCCGCTAACTGTGAGTTGGCGTTAATTAAATAAGAACTTATTTCTTAAGTGTGCTATTATTTCCCGAGATGCAATTTTTGCGCTGACCCGATATCCAGTTGGTGTTGTTGATCGAAACTCTAAAAGAATTAATAAATTGCATTATTCAAAGTCGGTTGATATGTCAGATAAGTAACTGCGTGAAATAGGACGGTCTTCACGGTCGTATCCGCTTTAATAATTATACTCGTACAAGGGATTTGGCTAAGGAAAAAATAATCTATTCCTGTCTTACCGATATTACTTAGTGATTTCTCACTTAAATCCTTACAGATCAGTTTCAGTAGTTTGTTTTGATGTATTAGAGTAAAAATATGTAAAGTGATGGAACCACAAAGCTTACTATATCAGATGACGAAACCAGTAATTTCGCTGTTTCTGTGGTCAGTGTATGGGTCAGGCCTCGCCACAGTCGCCCAGCGGCAGCCGGGGCCGTCCGCGCGGCCGGGACGCGTCACCGACGGCACAAATGTGTTAACACGAGTCGCTCCGGGGAGCGCTCGCGTGCCAAACGACTAGTTCTACCGTTGAAGCCAAAATATAGTAGTTAACATAATGTGTACGATATCGATAGTGCGATAAGTAGAGCGGTGATATGTCGAGTGCGGAGCGAGTCTGTCAGTCGCCGCGACGCTGCGGGCAGACGCACGCAGTAGTGTTACAGATATCTATTACTGTTACGGTCGCTGTTTGTTATGGGAGCGCCGCGCCGACCCCTCGCTTTCACATTTTATTGTACGTTTCTGTGAATACTGTTTTGTGATTGAGTGCATTACTTTTTATTTGGAATATTGTTATCGATGTGATAGTTCTTAGTTTATTGAACCTCGTGCCCGGGAAGCCGAGTGCGGTCGGCGCGAAGGTGCAAACGACTTGTGTTGTACAAACATTGTAAAAACACGTTACGTTTTCACTGATAAATAATTATCATTGAGGAAAATGTTTTATCGTTTTTAATAAAAAAATGTTTTGAAGAACTTGTTTTCTTCGTTTGTATGCCAAATTTCCTGGAAAAAGTATGGTTCGGGATTATTTCTTGCACATAAGTGCAATTGTTTTGTGTTTTTATTTCAAGCCGCCGCCAAGACGAGCCGGCGAAGCGCAAGGTTTCCACCTACTTACCTTTTCTCAAAGTGGTTCGTCGTTTTTTTTTTAACAGACTTCATCAAAAGGAGGAGGTTCTTTTTTTTTCTATGTATGTACACCGATTACGCCAAGATTTCTGAGCCGTGATTCTTGTTTTCATCGATGCGGAATAGTTGCCATTTGGTCCCATAAAAAATTAATTTGATTTGGTTGAGTAGTTTTTATTTTATGAGAATTTTTAGTTTTTAGCATGCTCACGTGAACACTTTGTTTGTGACAATTACGTCGTCTAGGTATCTTTAAGTAATCGATGTTCACCGACAGATTTCTCGTCCGATTTGAGTGATTCTTTTTTGTTCTATAGTACTTACTTGCCATTTGGTCCCATATACAATTTAATTTAGTTAAATTTAGTCGTTTTTTAGGGTTCCCTAGTGCTGACAAGGAAACCTTATAGTTTCGATATGTCTGTCTGTCTGTCCGAGGTTTTGCTTAGAAACTACCTATTGGCACTAGGGAGCTGTAATTTTGTGGAGGTATGTATATTAATCACGCCGCGTCGACAAAACGGTTAAATAAAATTAAAATTTGGAAATAAATAAATAAATAAATAAATAAAATAAAAAAAAAGATTTTTAGAGTAGCTCCCCTACATGTAAAGTGGAGATGATTTTTTTTTATCATCTACCCCAGCCATCGTGTGTGTTTTTATCATCTACCCCAGCCATCGTGTGTGGTGTCGTTGGTAGGTGGTTTAGGGGTTACTAAGACTATTTTTCCATTTAAGGATATGTGGGCGAAGTGTGAGTTTACATCGCGCGTTTAAAAAATGTATGAACATTTTAGTTTTTGAACGTTTTCCGTCATACATTTAATGTCATTTTTGACGCGCTCACTAGTGAGCGCCTTTGATGCCAACTCACACTAGGCCCTCTGTTGGCAAATTATTAAAGTTTAAAGTGACAATTTTTATTCGAGTAGAGCGTGACTTGACTCATGTGTTATAAAATTTCTTAACCAGTAAAAAATCCTTAGAAGAAAATATGAAAAGTGACTTTAGATGAAGTAATTGCTTGCTTCTGAAATATATTTGGTAACGACGGACAACTACGGAACCCTACACTGCGCGTGGCACGACACGCACTTGGCCAATTTTATTATATGAACTTATGGTGCCGTACCTACCTATAATTACTTTCTATAATTAGATTTATATATACGAGTAATAGGTATCTATAATATTATTAAAAAAAAAAAAACTAAGTGCGGTGGGACCATGGTTAAAATAAATTACCCGTAGACCCACTGGCAAACACTGTTCAGAACGGTGGGACAACAGGTAAAAAAAAATACCCGTGGACCCACCAGCCAGGGGGACATGTTGGGGGGACCACGGGTAAAAGCCGAATAAAACTAGTTTTATATTCACACAAATTTTTATTATCTAATTCAATAACAAAATACTGTTTATCCATAAAGAGGTACATCATGAACAATAAAAAGATGTAAGAGACTGACGATATTAGGAGGGCGCACTCGCTAGTCGCGCTCTGCCTTAGGCCTGGCGGGTCCGGCGAAAGCGGACACTCGGAACTATGGGACAGTAAACATGAACGGTCATACATCCTTATAAATTGCTTACATGTCGACACTTCATTCAGTCTTCTCGTTACACTCAGCTCGTACGAAACATTACGACACTAACCTACGCTATGAGATACGGGGATGCTGTATGTGGGTATAGTAGGCCGGTGCCGTGTGCGTGGCGAGAGCGGGAGACTCCCGAAAAACCATACATGGGCAAGCTTTTAGCGGATAATACTGATATTTCATGACAAATATATTATTGTCAGACGGTAAGGGTACTTTTAAAGTTCATTCATACAATATCATACGTACATTTAAATCGGGACAAATTCGGTGTGACGTCACTGGATATGCAGGTGGTACTACACGAATACGGACACTGACGACAACAGAGAGGACGAAGGAGATATGCCTACGCGTTGGTCCTACGGCGGGAGGCCGCCACGGTCGGCCGCGTCAATAACACTAATAAACCCGATCAAAACGGTAACCACGATAAACGTCCTCTTTAAATACAACGACGTGAACAACAATAGATATGTCTCTACATGTACAATATACAGGTGCGTCGGCGGGGCGGGGCCGGGGGCGGGGGCGGGGGCGGGCGGCTACTTGATGGAGCACGCGAACTGCGCGCGCAGCCGCCGCAGCGACGCCGACGACGCGCTCTGCAACACACCGGGACGCTGACCGCAGCCCACGGGCCTGCCCGCGCGTGCACGAGTGGATGCAGCCTCACTCGACGCGCGCGTGCGCGAGGAACCAGGGCTTCGATTGCGCTAAAAATTTTCAACTGCAACGCGATTGAACGACGAACGAACTTCAGCTGTTTTGACAAATCCGTATCGCGGTGTCGTTTTGACATCTAGGAGTTCAAACGAAGTTGAAACTTAATTGGAGCGCAACTGCCCCTTTACGTAAAAACTGACAGAAAGCTAGCTTCACGAACATTTTCTGTGTATTAGNTATTAGTAAAAAAACATACAAAAGTTTTAATTAAAAGATGTAAAGTAAAATATACATTTTGTAATGCCACCTGGAGGGAAAGTTCTCTTAATATTGTAGATATATTTTTTTTCTCAAAGAAAGAAAAACATTCCTTTATTTTTGAAAAGAAATAGAACTGCATTAAAAGATTTTCCACAATTTTCTTGCCACACCCGGGAATCGAACCAACTAAAATAAGTATATTAAACATTACATCCTGTATTTTTTTTATTGCATCGATCGTTAGGGTTAAGTAAAGTGCCATTTGCCCAATGTGTTATTCCATAAATAACCCTATTCTATGTACTTTATGATTTAATAAAAATAATACAATCAAAAGGCTAAAAACTATGTATTCTAGTTAATTCAAAAGTTTCGTTAATTTTGGGACACCCTTTATAAGGATGAAATCTCTCTAACAAACTTGATAAATCAAATTAAAGGAAAACCAAGAAATCTTAGGGCGCTGTACAATCCGTCATACATTAATGTTATTTTTTATGCGCTCAATAGCGACGACGTTTGATGTAAGCTAAGCCCAAATTATTTTAATTTTAAAAGGTACAGATTATTATATGGTATGGTAGTGAATATCCGATTTTTTTTTAAATCTTTAAATACAGTTCTCTTTTTTTTTCAAAAATAAAGGAATGTTTTCTTTCAGTAAAATTTTCTATCTACAGTGTTAAGAGTACTTTCCCTCCAGGTGGCATTACAAAATTCCATCCTGTATATGATATTTAAATGAGAAAAAGTAAGGGAAAATAAAATAATTTCTACTATAGGCATAACAAGATATCACAAATAATAATTTAGTAAACCGATAATGTAGTGAACGTAGAATGTATTTTTTTGTATTTTATTTTTAATCTTTTAATTATAGATTCCACGACAACTCGATCCCAAGATCGCTCGACTCTGACAAGTTGACCCCTGCAACAACTCAACCTCAACCCTCGAGTATTTTGGAGTCGAGCAGGGATCGAGTCGTCGTGCGCGATACTGTCTAAATTTCAACAGAAGAACGGTCACAAAAAGGCTGCACGAATTGGAATTCGTTAAGAAAACCGCACATCGATCGTTCGTCGCACGGTACCTGCGGTCGCGCGCGAGTCCCGCGGGGCCTGCGGGTTGCCGTTGGCGTCGCGCGTGGGGCTCGCGGGGCCCGCGCTGCCGCTCGACGAGTCCAGCTCCAGCGACGACTGCGACGCCACCGAGCCCGACTCCGAGCGCGCGCCGCTGCCCGCCGACCCCGCCGACGCCGACCACTGCAACACAGTCGCGTCAGTGAGCGCCGCGCTCGCCGCCCCCCCCGCCCCGCCGCCGCCGGGCCTCACCTGCGGCCGCGAGTCGGAGCCCGAGCGCGAGCTGGAGCGCGGCGGCGAGCGCGGCGCGCCCGACGAGCTGCTGTCGCTGCCGCTGCCGCGCCGCGAGCCCGCGCCCGCCCCGCCCGCGCCGCCCGCGCCGCCCGCCCCGACCGAGCCCTCTGCGGACAGAGATTGGAACTCCACTTAGTGGTGCCTAGCCTTGTGTTCTAAAAAAAGATAACTTTTAAAACTTATCTTTTGGGACCTACCAGCGCTTCGTGACATCTCTAGGCAACTAGGACGAGACGCGTGATGCGACCCGGATTTGCAGCTCAGAACCCGGACATGAATGTATAGATCGTGCCATCCACAAAGACGCGTCCCACCAATTTTTGGTCGAGGGAAGCGCGGGGTGCGAGGAGTTTGATCCGAGCAATCCAAGCGTCATTACTGTAGTGTGCGTGTGCGATAATTTAGTAGATTGTACCGATAACACCTACAACCTAAAAAATCTGATTTGCCCCCCATGGGGGGGTAGGTCATACCCATAAGGGTAAGGGTAGGGGGTACCTAAGTCATACCCAGAAGCTGGGTATGACTTACCCCCCCCCCCCCCCTGAAGCTGAGTACGCCCATGCGGACATGTCAACAGGTTTTTTAAAAACTTATTTGCGTCACCCGGAATCAGTCTAAGAATTAATTTTTTAAAGCCGGACTACAATTATTAATGAAACCCTGCCCGGACACCCCGAACGCCCTCTAAAAACTAGGACAAATCGGGGGAAACCAGAAGAATGGCAACCCTATTCGAGACAAACAATGGCAAATACTGAGAAAAAGCAACTATAGTCAGTTGTCCTTGCCAGTCATTATTAAAAAAAAGACATTATGTACTTAATTATAATGACATTCGCATGAGAAAATAAACATCAAAGATCACGTTTTTTGCACGTGTAGTTTTAAAAAGTTTTACAATGTGGAAGCACTGGCCGTTCCATTTGAACATTGATTCGGAGAGCCAGCCCTGACGAACGTAAAGGCGGGAGCACTGACCGCGCTGGAGCTTGTGGCGCAGCAGCGGGTAGAAGCCGCGCGCTGTGGCGTTGTGCGGCTCGTACTGCAGGATGAGGCGGCAGTACTTCAGCGCCTCCGCGTACTGCCGCCGCATGATCGCCGACAGGAACTGCGAAACACGCGCTCGTAATTACGATTCAAGTTAACATGTGCAACCAGTGCAACTGAGGCTATGAAGCCCGAGATAACGAAACTGGTTTTATGGATGCTCGCGGTTCATCATTCACATCAGAAAGCGATCAAGCGAAGGGTTCACTCACCTCTGCGAGGAATTCGCTGGGCGCCGAGAGCGCGTCGGCGTCGGAGCAGTCGTCGGGGCTGGTGGAGTGGCGCGCGGCGTCCATGGCGCCCGCGCCGGCCGGCAGCGTCACCACGAGGCGGCGCGCGGGCGGGGNGCGAGTTGGGCAGCGGGCGCCGGAACACGCGGCGCCGGGCGCGCCCGCGGGGCTCCGCGCGCCGAGGCCGCCGCTTAGGCTTGGCGGCCGGGCCCGGGTACCTGCGCAGACGGCGGTGAGCGGGGCGGGCGGGCGGTAGTCACGGCGCGGGCGGGCGGTACTCACGGCGCGGGCGGGCGGTACTCACAGGCGCGGGTTGGGCGTGTAGGCGCGGCGGCGCGGCGGGCGCGGCAGCTCGCGCGGGGCGCTGCGCAGGCGCCGCGGCGCGCCGAGGTCGATCACGTCCACGCGCTCCTCCTCCGCCTCGCGCACCACCACCTCTAGTCTGCAACGGATCGTTTTGACGATGGCCGTTAATGTTCTGCCGCATGTGTTGTTCGACAGACGCGTTATCTGCCTGAAACACGCTCACGGCGATGCACGATGCCCCGATCGAGAGGCTGAGTGCGACTTCGATTGTCCTGAAAAGCTAACTAATGCTCACAATGGCTGTGAGCATTAGTTAGCTTTGCAGCAAACGCAAGTATCTCACATTATTATAAAACCCTCTATATAATATAATAGGCAGCAGGCATTAATGAAACACCAGCTGCAGCCAGTAGGTACAGGAGATAAAACAAAGAAGCTGTACGAATGAAATATCTAAAACAAAGGAACGCTTCGAAAGTGCTCGCTCGCGCACTTCCTGGCTGGGGGCGCGGACTTCATTAGGACAATCAGTGCCGCCCACCCTCCACCTCATTTTCTGCTCATTATTCAAAGTTCAGTTTAAATATTTCAGAAACTGGCATACCTCTTAGGCCGTTTATCCGCCTGCTTGGGTTGGGTGACGCTAAAGTCTTTCCAGCTGGGGCCGCTTAAGTGGGTAGGCGCAACCTCTCTGAAACTGGAGTAAAGATTACTTAGTTAACTACTTACACAATAATAAGATAAAAAAAAATCCGATTGCCTAAGGGAAACCGTTGATCATTGTCATTGTCTTCTTTCTTTCTTGCTTTTTCTTCTCTTGTCAACCAAAAGACTACCATCTTTCATTAGGAAAGGCCTTACCTACACTTCTGTCTTTTAGTTATGTATAATGCATCTGTCTCGCTTTTATCAATTTTAAGTGTAGAAGAAAAACTGGAATTTTAAATGGGATTTGGTTGACAAACGGGCGCAAATATCGTAATAAAAAGTAATAAGTAATCGATTTAAATAAAAATCGATTATATACATATAACGTTTAACCGTTTATTCCCGATGTCCCCCACTATTTGTCCACCACTGGTGGACATCGAGAAAAAAAGTTGCAATGTCCACCAGTGGGGGACAGCGCTACTGAAATCTTCCCGTTGGGCCCTACTGGTGGACACTGAGAAGAAATGAGTTGCTCTGTCCCTCAGTGGTGGACATCGAAACCAAAAAAGCGTTCTTTCGGGATATAGTAAATCGGGTTAAGAATCACAGATAAAAGTATCGGTTATTGTTACGATTAAAATAAGGTGGTGCAACTCAGCCTAAGCCTATTGTGGTAAAGCAAAATATTATTTTACAGTGTTAGTTATACTAAACATCAACTAGGTAGGTAAATACACTTTTAAGTGCCTAATCTCGGTTAGGTATGGAGCGTGTTATGCAGCAGTAACGTCAGGAAAATAAATGAGTCTTGTTGTACTTAAGTAATCAGTAGTTTATGGCGCGGTCGCAACTCGCAGTGGGTCAGCCGGGCAGCGCAGCGGAAGCGAATAACTCACGCAAACTTTTTACTACCAAAAAGCAATGGAAATCTCAATATTCGACCTAAGTACAGAAAGAAGAATGCTCATGAATTAAAGTTAGCATGCACTCGGCTCGGGCCTCGGGGTCACGCTATGTGCACGTGGAATTGTGGACTGAGTGATCCTTTCTCCAACCTTAACTATACTACTCTATAATCAAGGAAGTTATTAGTAAAATTATCAGTGGTGGATTTACCAGCAGGCTGAAGGCGCTGAAGCCTAGAGCGGCAAATTCTAAGGGGCGGCAGATTTAGTTCACATTTTTCTTTTTTATTTCGATTTACAATTAATAATCAAATTTTTCCTCACACAAAATACGAATTTCGGAAATTGGAGAGAAATGAAAATATTAATGCGATTCAGACTCGCGCACGATAAAACATTTATGAATAATGTAAAACTATAAAACCAGTGTTCTAGTCCTTGAATAAAACAAGTTTATTGAACTAACATTCACATTTTCAGTGAAAAAATATATCGACCAAACAACTGCAATGGGCGTTATTGTAGTCGACGCGACTGCTGACTTATTCCCACTGACATTGCACACGCACACGGTTATTAATACCTATGTGTACCTACACTTGAAGAATTAGCAAACTACCTACTACGACGCAAGGCATTTCCTATTCCTTCGGGTAGGACCAACGTTTATCTACCAAGTAGTACTGACTGGCCTTTAGTACTGCAGATGTTTTTGTGACTACTTATTTTGCGTATTTACAAAAAGGATAAGTATCTATTCCTATACACGTTAGTGTATTGAAATGTTGTGACCAAAACAAAAGCACATTCGAGCTGTATCGATTGTAGGAGCAACAGTTTGCCACGTAGCTAGCACGGTTATTAGAACCCGTTGTAAATGCAACTACAATTTACTCTGTGGATGTCATGGCATCCGAAAGTTTTAGCTAGAACGCATTAGTTAGCATACGACTTACTTTTGATGTATTTAGATTCACAGAGCTAGACCAAGGAATCACAGCTCAGATACGATAGGTCACGATTTTCACACGAGGTGCCACGGCGGCGCCGACCGGTGGACTCCGAGTCTCCGAATCACGCTCGGAATGCTACGGCTACGGGCCTACGCACGCCGCCGGTCCAAGCTAGTGCCAGGCATCGCGCATGCTCACTACATTCTTGGAGAAGGAGAAATGTATTGTAAACCTTTCCTCGTTTCCTCTGAATGTAAAAGCAATGCCGTAAACATTGAACCCGTGTTATAGTGACGTTTAGGCAAGCCAAGAACCTGTTTAACGAAAATACGTATGAACTACTTAGGTACACTTACTTTCTTCCAAATTGCTTCGTTTTAATCACCATTTTAGTCAAGATTCACAACAAATTTATCCTTTTAGTTGTACCTAATATTTTTATTCACATGACGGGCAATCAATACAAGACACCGTGAGCCAAAACAATTGAATCTCCCGCCGCCGTCATGAATGCCGTCATGATGACTGTTTTTTAAGTTTCATTTTTCGCTTCGCGTAACTGTATTATGGGCAATGTTTTAATAAAAATTGTATGATATCAGTGCTTTTAATTAATTGTGGACTACACAATACACATGTTTAAAATTAAATGATTTCCGTGACCCCGTCACAATACGCACGTTTAAAATTAAATAATTTCGGTGCAATAGATTCCTATCATTATTTTGTTAAATTGCAGTATCAATTTACACAGAGCGAGCACATATTTAATTTAACATATTTAGTGTAGTTTAAACAATGATTTCTTTGCTTATTTTTTTGACAGATCATTGATTTAAATGCATGCAAATGCACAAATTAATGTGTCGTGGAAATGGGGGCGCTACTTCCAACTAACACTGTCAAATTCTAGCGAATATAAACACAGATTTCATTAGTTCCATTTTTGTCCACCAGTAAGTTTCACTTGGTGGTATTGTAAAAAAAAAAATATGTCATGTCATGTCATTTTTCATTTTACGGAAATAGGTACCTTTTCAATCATTCGTAGAAATGGCTGAGTTGTTGTCGGTTCCGTTAAAAAAGTCTTCGGACGTTGATATAGTTAAGCCGTTGAAAAATCTTATTCAATCGACGTATAATTCAGATAAGGGCACCGAGGACTACAGCGATGCTCTCAACGAGCTCAGCAGGTTGAGGACCAACGCTATCTGGAAAGTGTTCGAGAAGTCTTCGCTCGAGGTTATTTACAGGTAAATAGCGCAATATTTGTTAGCTATGAGTCATCTAGATGATCATTGAATCATTACTAATATCTTAGCTCCTTTATAGAATCAGTTTTTAAATCGGTATACCGAAACAAATGTTTATTATAGAGTTGGTAATGATGTCATTGTTCTGAGAGATAAAAGCTTAATTGGCTGTAGGTAGTTTTATAAATATTGTGTTTCATTGTATGCAGTTACTATGATCAGCTCGTGGCTCTTGAGAAGAAGATACCACCACAGGAGGTGCAAATCCCATTCAAATGGAAAGATGCTTTTGATAAAGGCTCAATATTTGGAGGGCGGATGAGTCTTAGTGAGTATTTCTAACTCTTAGGCTGAGTAGCACCACCTAACTTTGACCATAACTCTAACGATAACCGGTGTTTGTTGTATGGAGTTTGACAGATTTTTTACATTTGTCAAAGTTAAAGTAAGATGGTGCAACCCAGCCATTAGTCATGAGCATTGCACTAATGTAAGTCAAAAATAATTGATAATTATATTAATAAATGTGAAACTCTGAATGTATTGCGTTCATGCATGAACCGATTTTGATGAAATTGGGTATAGAGATAGTTTGAATTTTTAAACATTATAATGCACAATAGTAATAATATTATGAAGAGAAATAAATAAATAGTTTTTCTGTGACATACAATATTGAGGCAGACAGAAGCTAGTAGTTTTTGAGTCATTTGATTGAAGAATTTATTAGTAATTTGTATAAAATTTTTTTGGTGTGTCATTTCATGCTATTTATATTGTGTTTAACTAAGTATTGTTTGTGTAATATTTTTTTGTTTGCTTCACTTATTATTTCCAATAATGGCGAAAGGAATGGGTGTATCTTTTTACCTTTATAAATATCAAAGATAATTTATTTATTTATTTTATTTATTTATTTATATTAGGAAGACCAGGGTTTACATAATTGATTATTTTACAGTTAATAACACTTGATAACCACTTATAGGTCCCCACAGATAGAATTGTGGTGGATATTTAAAGAAATTATAAAAACAGATAAAATTTATACGATACACGATACACCTAATTTAGCTGTTGAAAGGGGTTGCATTATTGATATTCAATTTACAAAGCATACTAATGGAAATGCATTGGGCACGTGAGCAGCGATCAGCTCGCTGGCGTACGAGCGCATGTGCGTGCTGTTCAACATGGCGGCGCTGCAGAGCGCGCTGGCGGCGCAGCAGCCGCTCGACACCGAGGACTCCCTCAAGCTGGCCGCCAAACTCTTCCAGGTTTGCTAATTCTTAAACCTTCTTTGAGCTTTTCTTGACTATTTTAATAATTAATATTCAAGAGCAGTGGTATATGTCACAACTGCTGACTGCTGAGCCAATTGGATACATCATAAATATTATCTTTACTACTAATATTATAAATGAAAACGAAAGTAATTCTGTCTGTCTGTCTCGCTTTCACGCCTAAACCACTGAACCTGATTTTGATGAAATTTGGCAGGGAGATAGTTTGAGTCCCGGGAAAGGACATTGGATAGTTTTTATCCCGGTTTTTGAAACAGGGACGCGCGCGATAAATTTTTGGTAAAGTTTTTCTGTGAAATTCCACGCGGGCGAAGCCGCGGGCGGCAATTGAAAAGTTGCTGTTCGTTAGTCTCACTAAAATTCGAGATAGGCTGTATCGATTTAGTTTATTTTGGTTTTAAAATGTACGTCGTAGTCCAGGGAAATTTCACACGATAAAAAAATCGTTTGTGTTATAAAAAGAAAAAAAATGGCGCTACGTACCTACCATTTTTTTCAGTCAGAAATATAAATATTGAGTCGTCTAAAAAAAATACGGTTTTCATCAGTCAAACCCAAGAGCTATGAAAAATGAAAGTTCCTCACGTACATAATCGAGAGTATCGTGTCGCAGCAAGCGGCGGGCATCTTCACGTACCTCAAGGCGAACGTGATGCTGGCCGTGCACCAGGAGACCACGCCCGACCTCGCGCCCGACACGCTGGCGGCGCTGGCGCAGCTCATGCTGGCGCAGGCGCAGGAGGTCATCGCCTACAAGTGCATCCGAGGTGACCCACCGACTGTTTGAACTACAGGGTGGAATTTTGTAATGCCACCTGGAGGGAAAGTACTTTTAATACTGTAGATAGAAAATTTTACTCAAAGAAAACATTCCTTTATTTTTGAATAGAAATAGAACTGCATTCAAAGATTTCCAAAAATTTGTATGAGACACCCGAGAATCGAACCAACTAAAATTTGTTAAAAATTACACCCTGTATTTTTATTGCATCGATCGTTAGGGTTAAGTTTATGGATGAAATCTCTCTAACAAACTTGATAAATTAAATGAAAGAAAAACCATGAAATCTTAAATTATTTTTATTATTTACAGAAAATTATATGGTATGGTAGTGGATTTTCAAAAATCTTTGAATGTGCAACGTTGGGCGTTGGGACGATTAAATACGCGCATACTACAAATGCAGTTCTCTTTGTTTTCAAAAATAAAGGAATGTTTTCTTTGAGTAAAATTTTCTATCTAAAGTTTTAAGAGTACTTTCCCTCCAGGTGGCATTACAAAATTCCACCCTGTATATTTTTTGTTGGATACGACAATTTATTAATTTGAGATCGAATTTCTTTATGAATCGTATGATCCGCGTGTGCTTGCAGACGAGATGAAGGAGAGCATGGTGGCCAAGGTGTGCGCGCAGTGCGAGGAGCTGTACACGGACGCGTTGCGCGCGCTGCAGAAGGACGCGCTGAAGCCGCTGTGGGAGCGCGACTGGATCCCCACGGTACGCCCGCCGCCGTAAGATACGACTTTCATGTTTTGGATCACGTGTAGATCTGGATCTCTGGCTCGTTTTCCGGCCGCAACGCTTGAAATTCTTACAGAGTGGACGTGGGAGGCCCGGAGAGCGATGAACGGTGCGCTTGTTTGTTGTTTGTTCACGGGCGGGCAGTTTTCACGATTCCTTGTCGTAATTTAATATAGCTTGTTCGCTTTTAGGTGACTGCAAAACAGATGGCGTTCCGTGGGCTCACTCAATTTTACCAGAGTTTAGTCTGTCGTGCCAACAAGAGCGTCGGAGAGGAGATTTCGCGGCTGCAGGTATAATATTTTATTCATAACTAGCGGCCGCCCGCGACTTCGTACGCGTGGATCCCGTTTTACCCCCTTCGTCTATCTTACGCGGTTTAGATTTTTTCGTACAAATGTTTTTTACCGCTTACTCCCGTTCCCGTGGGAATTTTGCAATATCCTGTTGTAACTAAGCTTCAAGTTTACTAACGACGTGCCGAAGGACGCGTCCCTACGTTTTCGGGGGGTCGCGTCCGTCGGCAACGAGCGCCCTGTAACGCGTCGCGTGCGCAGCTGGCGGTGGAGCTGCTGCGCGGCGCGGCGCGCGCGGGCGCGGCCGGCCCGCTGCAGGAGGCGGGCGCCCGCGCCGCGCGCCACCTGGCCGAGGCCGTCAAGGACAACGACTTCATCTACCACGAGCGCGTGCCCGACGCGCGCGCGCTCGAGCCCGTGGCGCGCGCGCCCGTGGCCAAGCCGCTGCCGCCGCAGGAGCGCTGGGCGGCCGAGCGCGACCTGTTCGCGAGCCTCGTGCCGCTGGCCGTGCACCAGGCGCAGGCGGCCAGCGCGGCGCGCTGCGGCGAGCTGGCGGCGGCCGAGGTGGCGCGCCTGCGCGAGGCCACGCAGCTGCTCAACGGCGTGCTGGCGTCGCTGAACCTGCCGGCGTGCGTGGAGGCGGCGGGCGACGGCGCGCTGCCCGCCTCCATCCGCGCCAAGGCGGCCGACGTGCGCGCGGCCGGCGGCCTGCCCGAGCTGCAGCGGCTCATGGCCGAGCTGCCGGAGCTGCTGCAGCGCAACCGCGACATCCTGGACGAGGCGGAGCGGCTGCTGCGCGAGGAGGAGGAGGCGGACGACGCGCTGCGGCGCCAGTTCGCCGAGCGCTGGGCGCGCACGCCCTCGGCCAAGCTCACGGACGCCTTCCGCGCCAACGCCGCCAAGTACCGCCAGATCATCGACAACGCCGTGCGCGCCGACAACATCGTGCAGCAGAAGTACCAGCAGCACCGCGAGGTCAGTGTCGCGAGAGAGACGGTTTGAGACACGTCACATGTCCGAAACGCGTTCGTCCTCTCCTCGAATGCATCTCAGAGAACGTAACGGACGACGTCCCACGCTGAAATTATTTTGCAAGCTCGACTCTTAGTCAAAAAAAGTCAAAAGTCAAAATTTCTTTATTTGTTTAGACTAATAAATAGTTCTTACAAATCGTCATTTTGCTCTTAGACTTAGAGAGCCCTATGTTGCCTAAAATGTTTTAAAAAAAAATGTTTGATCTATATTTTCACTATTGCGGTTCACATTCGATCCTCGCGGTGGCGCTGAACGATTTCTCACGCGACCTCTGGGAACTTACAGAACATAGCGCTGCTGAGCGGCAGCGAGGACGGCATCACGGCGGGCGTGCCCGACGCGCCCGCGGGCGCCGGCGCCGACACCGACGCCGCCGCCACGCTGCGCGAGCTCATGCGCGAGGTACGTACCGCCCGGCGGCTCTCCGCTCTCGGTGCGACACGGCCGCGGACTCTCAAAAAAATAAAAATCAAAAGTATTTATTCAGTTTAGACCACAAGTGGCACTTATGAACGTCAAAATATTATTATAGAAAATAATAAAAAAAGAAAAGGTAGCCTTCTGTTGGACAGGCTGGAGAGGATGGGTATCAGGGGAGTCCAACTCAAACTGTTCCGTAGTTACCTTTCCGGTCGAAGCCAATGTGTCACTATAAATGGGATTATAAGTTCTGAACTGCCCATTGAGTACGGTGTGCCTCAGGGAAGTATATTGGGCCCCACCCTCTTCCTGGTGTACATCAACAACCTGTGCGCACTTAGTATACCACACTGCAAAATCATCTCTTATGCAGATGACACTGCACTTATCTTTACGGTACGCACCTGGGAGGAAGCCTTTCTTAATGCTCAGGCGGGGCTAGATACTGTCTCTCTATGGCTCCGACATAACTTACTTACCCTAAATATCCAAAAGACCCACTATATGACATTTTCAATAAATTCCGTTTCCCCAAATATCTTAAGCAATCTTAACTTATTTTCCCACAACCATGCCAATTCACCCAGTCTCAACTGTAACTGCCTCAAACTTTCTTCTGCCGTTCACATCAAATACCTGGGGGTAATTATTGATAATAGGCTCACATTTAAACAGCACATCAGTACCACCTCCGGCAGGTTACGAAAGCTCATGTTTGTGTTTAGATCCTTGCGCCATGTCGCTGAGCCTGACTTAGTTAGAAAGGTCTACACAGCTCTCTGCCAGTCTCTCTTACTTTATTGCATTACCTCTTGGGGTGGCGCCAGTATGACTGCCATGATTGTGTTAGAGAGAGCTCAGAGAGCAGTTTTAAAGGTCTGTACGTTCAAGCCTTTGCTTTTTCCGACGTACGAGCTGTTCCAGTATTGTAAAGTATTATCTGTACGCCAGCTTTTTATTCTGCTTACTATAATGAAGCAGCACGGGGCTATTAAGTATGACCCTAATATCTCGCAGTCACGACGAAATTATCTTGTAGCTCGCTCATCTTTCAAGACTAGTTTCCCTAAACGCTTTTTCTCTTACCTAGGCCCCTTCTTGTACAATCAACTTCAACGTAAACTGGATACACACACAGGTCAGGTTTTAGTCGGTCACGTCGAGAGCGGAGAGTCCTGGTGTTCTGTAATACAGGCTTGCAGCCTAGCTCAGACACCAGTCTCCCGCAATCTAAGTGTCTGTCCACTACATTTATTATTGTAATTTAAGATAATATTAAACCTTACATTGTTAACTTTTAGATTTAGATTGTGGAGAAAATAAAGAAAAGAATTATTATTATGGGGCACTTTACATGTCTCCTTATCTTTTGGGCCCTATCATTGAGCCCTCCACTGGCCGGCAGGTGGAGGAGCTGAAGGCGGAGCGCGACGCGACGGAGGCGGAGCTGAAGGCGGCGTCGGTGGACCTGCGCGCGCAGTTCGAGGCGGCGCTGGCGGCGGACGGCGCGGTGGACGAGCCGGCGCTGTCGGCGGGCGCGCTGGGCGCGGCGCTGGCCCCGCTGCGGGAGCGCGTGGGCGCGTCGCTGGCGCGGCAGGAGGCGCTGGCGGCGCGCGTGCAGGCGGCGCACGCGGCCTGGGCGGGCGCGGGCCGCGCGACGGGCCGCGACGAGGCGCTGGGCCGCCTGTGCGCCGCCTACGACGCCTTCCGCGACCTCACCGGCAACCTCAACGAGGGCGTCAAGTTCTACAACGACCTCACGCAGGTGGGCGGCCGGAGCTCGGCCTCGACGTTGTGCGTTAGGTGCACCCCAGTGACGCATCGTATCGTTTTTCCTCCATTAATTGCAGGAGTGTAGCGACTTTTTCTCGTGTATTCGAGATCCGGATATTTATTTGTGACCAAAACAATTGCAACTCGTTTTGAGATAAAAATAAATACTTTCTATTGTAACAATATCGACAAACGGCGGACGCTTTATGTTTTGCATTTATAACGTAACGCGACAATTTGGCGTCCTCTGATCACCCATGGATAAGACGATCCGGGTGATCGAAGCGGACTCCGGATTAATTAATATTTTAGTTTCCTTCGATCACCTACGAATAAATCACACCTCTGAACGGACACCCTGATAAAATAAAATAACAAACAAAACGTCTCCGCCGCAGCTGCTGGTGGCGTTCCAGAACAAGGTGTCGGACTTCTGCTTCGCGCGCAAGACCGAGAAGGAGGAGCTGCTCAAGGACCTCACGCAGGAGGCGTCGCGCGCCTCGCCGCGGCCCGCGCCCGCGCCGCCGCAGCACCACGCCGCCGCCGACGAGCCCGCCGCCGTCCGCCNGGAGGCGCCGCCGCGCCCGCCGCCGCCCGCGCCCGCCGCCGCCGCCGCCACCTCACCCGCCGCCGCCGCGCTGCCCTACCCGACTCAGCCGCAAGGTCAGTGTGTTGATGACGGAGGTCTTGCACGACTGCGTCACGTTCTTGTAGATTAAAAAACAAATCACGGTCGTAATTATTGCTAGTGCCTTCACGATCTGCAGCTAGAGAGTTGAAATTTTCACAGATTATATTTTTCTGTTGCCGCTATAACAACAAATACTAACTGAACATTGAATTATATCAATCTAGTATGTATGATCGAAGGTCCTTGCCGGCGACTCAAAATTTCATTCAGTTTTGTTAAAATTTTCGCGCCAAATGGTTAAATTGTTTTATCTACGGCTTTAAAGCCTCGAAAGAGTAACTGTAACCTATTATTGATACCGTTGGATTAGAGCTCGTGAAGTACTTTTAGGATCAGTAACCAGTTTTACGATTTATTCTGTAGTATGTACATATTATGTGGCTGTACCAAATGCATGATAGCTGGAAGCATTGATTTTTCGAATAGATTCAGTTTATTCTGTAACCGATTATTGATACCGTTTTATACAGGGTGTTAGGTAAATGGGTATATGAGCCGACACTAGCCCATGTTAACATAGGCATATAAATGGTATGGTGAAGTCAGAAATTTGATATCATCATTTTAATTTTTTAAATTATCATACAAAATAAATTTTATAAAATCCGATTTGTATGAAAATTAAAATAATTAAAATGAAGATATCAATTTTCTGACTTCATCATACCATTTATATGACCATGTTAACATAGGTTAGTGTCGGCTCATATACCCATTTACCTAACACCCTGTATAGATCATGAAGCACTTTCAGGATCAGTAACTATTTTTTTGATATCAAATAAAGTTTAGAAATTATCAAGTGAGATCACTTATCGTTTCCATCCTGTATTTTTTTTTATTCGGAAAACCAACAGCAATACAATACAAATAATGGGACCTTAAATTATGTATCTAAATAGAGCAAAGTCCCACGATTCTGCAACGTCAAGTGGCGAAAAATGGGCGAAATACATTATAATATAGAGCCCCAGTGACGACGATATCAGTGGGACAACTATAACATGTGAAAATTTTTCACTGGGTACGAAATATTAGTTCATTTTGAAGGACGGTCTTACTTCCTTGTAAAACGAAACTCGGTCTTACGAGGGTAAGTGAGGTGTGTAACTCGTGTCGTGTCGCAGGCATGCCGCTGCCGTACGGCGCGCCGGCGGCGCCCTACCCGTACTACGCGGCGCCGCTGCCCGCCATGTACAACCCCTACGCCACGCTGCCCTACCCGCACCACGCGCCGCGCATGCCGCCCGCGCACCAATACCAGGTATTATCCTTACGTAAGAAAACGTAATAACTTGTATATCCTGATAAAAAACAGTAATAATGCTAAATAACAGGCGATACTAAAAAATACATAAAATACCAAGAAAATGGCAACAAATAATAAAAAAATGTTATATTTCGAAAAAACTGCATTCTAGCTCGTGTTATTTTGGTTATTTAATTTCGTTCGTTCGTTTCCGCCGAATGAAGTCTACTGCCGGACAAAGGCCTCCTCCAAGTTTTCCACAATGCGCGGTCTTGCGCTGCCCGGTTATTTATTAAACTCCAAATATTTTATCAGGATATACCTCTTAGTTTAAAAGTTATTACCTACGTTTTCTAGCTCTTCAACCGTTTTCTTTACAATAAGTAATGGAGAAGTTTCTTAATGTAGAAAACATAATATTTCTCTGAATGGGATTAAAAACATTTAATAAAAACTGCTACTAGGCAGCATTTTTCAAATATAACAGCGCGAGCGGCAACCATACGAGGTCGTAAAGTTGAAATTCGTAAAGAGCACCTCGAAATATATAGAAATACCAATTTTCATTGCTCTCGGAAAACTTTCCAGGTATAGGTGTACCAGAATCTCATGGCAAACAAAAATATTGGAAAAGTGCNGGCCAGCGCGGGAAGGCGGCGCGGTAGTCGGGCAGGCGGCGCGCGCCGGCCCACAGCGCGCCGCCCGGCGTGCCCAGCGCGCGGAACACGCGGAACAGCTGGTCGATCTCGCTGTCGCCCGGGAACAGCGTGCGCCCGCTCGCCTGCGGACGGACCGAGAGGTGACGGGCGACCCAGCATTTATTTTTGCTAGGTTAGGGTTGAATAGAGTTTAAGCACCGAACGATATTAAGGATTTACGCCCGTATTCACAAACGATGCTTGCTTATGTGAAGCAGCAAATCGAACGCATAGCGTTGAATAGAGCTCTGTGATTGGTTCGTATGTCACCCTATGCGTCCACACGCACTGTGAGACCACATAGTAATGTTTGTGAATACGGGCGTTAGTAAATGTTCATTTTGTTCGGTGCCTAAGTTGTTCCGAATACAGGTTTAAGTTTTGACTTGAATTTAGGGAGGGAGGGAAAATGCATGGAATTCAAATACATAATTATTAAATAAACTTGCCGCATTTGTGGATCTATGGCAAAAAATGTGCCTACTACCCGTTCGCGCTAAGTTTGCCGGTCCGTGGAATGCGAGTCCCCTCCCCCAACCGCGATTAAACGCAATTAATGTGTCTTATTTTACGCAAATACCAATGATATTATATAAAAACAAAAGCAGATATGTTAAAAGCGCTCACGCTGTGAATACTCAAATACGTCCCAATTGGGACGTCTTGTGTTAAGTCTTCGTGTGGCCTGCGTCGTGCGCAATCGCGTGCGTACCACACCGTAAGTTCCTGTGTTCTTACCAAAATAAATAAAAAATGCCATCGTGTGTGTTTCGAAAGTGTACCAATTGACTCTAAAGTAAACAAAATACAAGGGATCTCTTACCACATGTGATTATGCAAAATTATTAAGTACTTATACACTCGCGAGCAAAAGTATGGAATCACTTACATGAAGTTGTTTCCATGCGAACTTGTGTACTAACGAATTTGTTACGAACAAAAAAAGTGGCACCATTTTAAAGATTAAACTTTTATCTTTAAATTGATACCAAATTCATTTAAATCACATCAGTATTTAAAAAGATATCCCGGCTGATGTGAAGAAGTAACAAAAAAGACATCTATGAACTGTTTGATACGTCGCGAGTTGCGGCCTATTTACCCCTTATAAAAGCACGCGTTTTCGGATTTTTGCTTTCACACGTTGATTCATACACATCTCCGCTTCTTTTGACACTTTACCTGGGATTCTACACCTTCAGAAGCAGCACAAATCGTTGCACTATTGCAAGAAGGGCTCAGCCAGCGAGCTGTCGCACGTCAGCGCCACATAAGCCNTATAGGTGTACCAGAATCTCATGGCAAACAAAAATATTGGAAAAGTGTGTTTTTCATATGGCAATTGTCTATGGTTTAATTGTCACCTGTCAAAGAAAATTATGAAATCTGTCAGCCGCTGCAAAATTTTTGTAATCTCTTCTTGACTATTTGTTATTTTTGTGAAAAAGTCGAAAAAGTTCAAGCAAGGCATATTGTTTTCAATGTGAATTGTAAAATAAGGCATAATTCAAAGTCGATCTTTGATTCTAAAACGCGTCGTCGAGTTGACAGTAAGTTGGACTGAAATGTTTTGATACATTTAGTTTATTACCCAACTGTGTCAGAAGGAGGGTTGTGTTTTTTTATATTATTCTTACTTAATAGCTGCTTTATCGGGGTTTTCAGGTATATCTCACAAATTGGTGCAGAACAGATGTTATAACCATGTAAAGAAAATTGAAAAAGATTTCATAAAGCAAGATTGAATAATGGAGAAGTTTCCAATTTTTTTCTTTGAAATAAACTCGAAATAAATATAAGTAGAACTAATAATAATTGTGAAATAATCATGAAAATATCTCTACAAATAAATAAGTTACAGGGCCCTAGAGTTGCGCATAACTATTCACGCCATTTTGATTGGTGTATTCACACAGTCATTCGGTGTACAAACAGTAAATCACCCCTGATCCAGCCAGTTCATTTTTTTTAATCTAGCAGTTTTTAATTTTTCAGCTAGGGTCACTCAAGATTCTATTTTAGTAAAATTTTGTAACCTTTTTTTTAAATAACCCAGACCTGGCCATATACAAAAAGAACGGCACCGCCTATGTTTCAGTTCTACGCAAAAATATGTAGGTAATTCAAATAATTAATTTCTCAGACATTTCTTTTCTCACAGACGATTTATTTAATTTCCAAGACATTTTCCTATGTTAAAAACCTGATGTATAACAACATTCTTCATACACATACCTACCTAAAATGTATATTCGTACTTCATGTTCATTAATATTAGTCATAAAAGTAAAAAATTAAACAGTATCAAGATCGTTTATTCCAATTTCCCCAGTATTGCTCTCAACAAAGTTTATTTTCCCTATTTGCCATGAGATTCTGGTACACCTATAAAGCCATTATATGTATCTTCTGTGAAAATTTTGAAAACCTTGTCTAATTTTCGATGAAATAAATCAATTTTATAACTGTCTACGGCAACGAGTCTAACGCAGACGTTTCTTGCTCGCAGCCCTACCAGTACCCGCAGCAGCCGGGCGGCGCCGGCTACCCGCAGCCGCCGCCCGCCGGCTACAACCCCTACGCGCCGCACCAGCAGTAGGCGTGACACGTGGCCGCCTCCGCCCACCAGCGTCGATTTGGCATTCTTATTTACGACTATTGATATATCGATCGGATAAGCGCTTAGATCTAAGGAATGTGAGATGATGCGTGCGTCTCTTATCGTTGTGAAGTACGTCTCCGCTTCTCGGAGTTAATTGTTGTTCGAAAGGCGATTCCGCTTGTAGGCGTCCCGTGGGCGCGCAGGAGACGATATTAGACTTGTTTACATCGTTTTGGTGCGACTTTGTTATGGTTTTGCTGTGTTGTTTATGCATTTTTATGTAAGGCTCAAACGAAGTTCATTGATTTCATGCAGGGAATGGGTCTGAAAACGTTTTCATTGAGACGATAATTGCTGAGAGAATTAATTTAGTAGAACTTTTATCAAAATATTTTGTGCTTTAATTTTCTGTAACGTAATAATTTTATACTTTTTGACTTGAGATCTTTAATTGTTATAGTCGGTGAACTGTGATTACCTGCCTTGAATCTTGGATCGTTGAATCAATTTTGTTATTTACTGGCCTCCCCACTATGCATACTAACATGCACGATATAGAGAACTAGTGAAGGCACACAATTTATAAAAACAAATGTTATGTAAAATTAACCATTTTAATAGTATAGGGTATTATTTTTATATTTAGTTAACTTATGCGAACCATATTTTATAGTATCCAATGAAATGATAAATTAGGAAATAAATATATTTTTTAAAGACCATTATTTAATTTTTGTACTTCCTCAAGAAGTACATCTGTCATTTTTGAACATGAGTGCGCCTGAGGCGGAGATTCACAGACCAGAGCAGTCAAGTATTATTAATAATAATTAAGCTGTTCCAAACTTCAGGCTATGTAGTCGGTCTCGGTATTGACTTAGGGTAAATGTATCAAATAATAAAATTTAAGTTGTATTATTTTATTCCCAAATCTGAGACTGGGCTGGCTGTCGGAAAAATAACGACCTTATAATTTCTCTGTTGATGCTCTGTTCTGCGCGCTGCATCCTCACAACCCTAGCGGGTCGATACACTTAATAACAAATATGCAACATATTACATCCTTCATAATATTACAACTAGCGAGTCACATTCAATATCATCTAATAACACTTTACAAACTAGCACTTTGGCACCGGCACAACGGTCAGTCGGGCGTGGCGGCGGCGGCGGCGGCGGCGGCGGCAGCGGCGGCGGGCTCGGCGGCGGGCTCCAGGCGCGGCGGCACGAGGCGCGCGTCGCGCAGGTAGGGGTGCGGCAGCGCGGCGCGCGCCGACACGCGCTGCGCCGGCTCGTAGCGCAGCATGGCGTCGAACAGCGCCGCCGCCGCCGCGTCCGCGCGCAGCGCCGGCGGCAGCAGCAGTTCTTGCAATAGTGCAACGATTTGTGCTGCTTCTGAAGGTGTAGAATCCCAGGTAAAGTGTCAAAAGAAGCGGAGATGTGTATGAATCAACGTGTGAAAGCAAAAATCTAAAAACGCGTGCTTTTATAGGGGCTAAATAGGCCGCAACTCGCAACGTATCAAACAGTTCATACATGTCTTTTTCGTTACTTCTTCACATCAGCCGGGATATCTTTTTAAATACTGGTGTGATTTAAATGACTTTGGTATCAATTTAAAGATAAAAGTTTAATCTTTAAAATGGTGCCACTTTTTTTGTTCGTAACAAATTCGTTAGTACACAAGTTCGCATGGAAACAACTTCATGTAAGTGATTCCATAGTTTTGCTCGCGAGTGTATTTTCAATTATTTATGCAAACAATCAAGACGCCATGCGCCATGTTCAACTTAAGAAAGAGAAAGCGATCTTGTTTTGACGTTAGAGCGATAAGGATGCGTGCGCTGCGGACATAGATTAGTTAGTGCAGAATCGTTAAAACTATAGCTATCTCTTTCATTTGCGTGCTATTTCGTATCTTTTGTTTCACTTATCAGTTACATTTGTCAATGTGTGCAATTTGGAATAGCTCGGCACGGATTAAAATCGTAATTTCTATGAACGTAACATATCTATAGTTCTATAATATCATTGGCAAATACACAATTTTTATCAATAATAATAAATATTTTAAATATAGTTTGTTAAAGTTATAGACGCTTTTTTTCGAGTGACGTCATATCGCGAACGGATAGTACTCGCCTTTCGAGTGCACCCCGCGAGCTCGAAGAGGGCAGATGAGAATGAAGGTTTTGTGAGCGGTCAGTTGAGGAGTGGTTGGTTGTCCTTAGTTTTTATCTTAAATGTTTATTGCTATTTAGTACCTGTGTGATTAAATAATAAATAATATATTTTTCAAGTCACAATACGATTTACGAAAATGTGCAATGCCCCATGAGCAGAACTTTATTTTATTTTTATTTTATTTTATTCGGAAAACCAACAGCAATACAATACAAATAATGGGACCTTTCATAGCTGTAATGGCGTAAAACGCGTTTCCGAAGCGTCTTTGAATGGGTAAAACAAATAAAAAGAGGTGCACTTCGCGACAAGAACGTGTAACCCGTGGACACGCCGCCTCCACTCGAGTCACGTCGCCTCGGTGTGGGCGATGCGGCCGTACTCAGGGACGCTCACTCACCATCTCCGCGTAGATGCAAGCGAGGCTCCACACGTCCACGGCGGTGGAGTAGAACTTGGCGCCGAGCAGGATCTCGGGCGCGCGGTACCACAGCGTGACGACCTCGTGCGTGTAGGCGCGCACGGGGATGCCGAAGGCGCGCGCCAGCCCGAAGTCGGCCAGCTTCACGCGCCCCGCCGCGTCCACCAGCAGGTTCTGCGGCTTCAGGTCGCGGTGCAGCACGCGCTGCGCGTGGCAGTACGCGATGCCCTCCAGCAGCTGCCGCAGGTAGCTCTGCGAACAACGAGCGCTGTAGTGTCGCCGGCTCGCGGGCCCGGGCGGACCGCGGGCGGTCGCGTACCTTCACGAGGTCGAGCGGCAGCGGGCCCCGGTGCAGGTCCATGAGGCGCTTGAGGTCCATGTGCAGGAACTCGAAGACCAGGTACAGCTTGTCGCCGGACAGCACCACGTCCAGCAGCTGCACGACGGCCGGGTGGCGCAGCTCGCGCAGCACCGAGATCTCGCGCAGCGCCGTCGACGGCACGCCCTCCGGCTCACTGTGGACCGACGCGACACGCTGTTGATGCTTTTGTTTCAATTTTAAACAATAATGTACTGCATGAATTCAAACATTGGTGCATAATTAAACATGCTCTATAGGGGGGCCGGGTGGACTGCACCCACCCCAAAAAATGGTGTAGTGCATACCCCAGAAAATCTTAGAAATAGTAAATCTATATACTTTATGATACTACTCCCCCCCTCCTCCCGCGCTTCCTCATGTGAGGGTCCAGCCCCCCTGAAAAATAACCCTAGCTAGATACACCGATGAATATGATATAATGTGAACAAAAACAATTGGTGACTGAGTTTGTTGCGGCGTTTCTTCTCAACACTTGCCAAATGTTGGTCTCGAAGCGCTGGTAGGGTAAAAAGATTATGAGACATGTAGAGGCTCCTTAAGAGCAAAATATTTGACGATTTGAAAGCTATAATAGTCTATGCAAATAAAGAAATTTTGACGTTGACTCTGACTTTAGAGGCAGTTGTAAGTCCTTTGCTTATTAACAACTAGCTTTCAACCCGTGTGGAATTTTGTCTGACACAGAAAAACTTTATTGTGCACGTCCCTGTTTAAAAAACCGGGATAAAAACTATCCTATGTCCTTTCCCGGGACTCAAACTATCTCTGTGCCAAATTTCATCAAAATCGGTTCAGTGGTTTAGGCGTGAAAGCAAGACAGACAGACAGTTACTTTCGCATTTATAATATTAGTATAGATAACTACTAAATTAGTAAAATTACTGGTAAAGAGTGACTTTAGATCCTAAACACTTAATAAAAATCTATTCAGATATAATTTTAAGATCAAATCACCTGTTGCATTACATGGCCAAAATATAAATTGCAGAATCTTTAATCTACTCACAAATATTGGTGAAATGATTGTGGGTTGAATATTCTTTAGGCTTTTCTTAGCTATCTGTATTCATGTAAGCTGCATGTTTTCCAAATAAAACAAATGTATAATGTTAAAAGCACAAAGTTATTGTTTACGAACGGGTTGTATTTAGGATCAAATTGAAATATGTACTTATTTATGGGTCATTCCACAAAAATGTGTCAACTCTTAGTCCGCGCCACATTTCACATGGAATATTTGTTAAAATATTATTCCAAAATTGTTAAATAACAGCTCGCAATGTGTTTTATTCATTACCCATTTAATTTTTAAAAACTATATTTCAAACATCTTAAATTCCTTTTAAATTACCCAAATGTCATTCCCTAGGCACGTCCGTACTCCAAAAGTTTGTGTTTTGGAACCCATATTTATAGCAACTTGATCCTTTGTTTTAATTAACGAATAATCTATTTAAACGTATATTACACCAAATTCTCTTAATATTTTGCAGTAACAATAAACAATAATTTGATTTTCTTTAGATGAAAAAGAGTCCACAGCTTTTAACGTCATTCCCTCGCCAAGCACTGATTTTATTATTATGCGCTTTAATATGTATTTAGAGTGAATGACATTTAGCTAAGTTTAAAGTAAGATACGAAGTTATCCTCGGACCATACTGGCTTTGCGGCAGCCGTTTTAATCTGCGTTAAGCCTAAGTTAATCTGCATTTGTGTTAAATTTTACTCCAAATCGTCAGTCCCTAGACGTCAGGCCCTAGCTTTAAACGGCGCTAGGGACTAAGTTACTAGTTAGGGAATGACGTTTTTAATATAGTGATAATAACAAAACAACTGCATTAAGTATATTAACTTATCTATAAATGTTAAGGTTATAAGTTTTATACTTTATTAAAAGTCATGTAGCAGTAATGTAGTATGAAAAAATTTAAAATTATAATTTCTCCTAAAATAAAGCATAAAGTGACTGGCCCTTTTAGACATAACATAATTAATAAATAAACTATAATTTACACTAATAAAGTATTCAAAAGCATCTTAAAAAAGTTTAGGACAAAATGACGTCGAAAATATACAGATTTTTATGGAATGACCCTTCATGAATCCTAAATGAATGCACTATGCATGTGTGTGAATGAAGGAAGACTCACATTAACTTACGAAGAATGAATACAAATAAAATTCTATTAAGACTTCAGGGCTTGTTTTAACCCTCTCCAAATAATACAGGCTGCCCTGCCATCTAGATTGTTGTCCTGAAGATGTGGTGGTGGCTAGATTCTAGTCTAGATGCATGTTCCAGAAAAATGCAGTTAATAAGCCGGGTCTTCAGTGCCTGATTTGCCCTATACAATCAACAAAAACATGTCATCATTCAATAGTTTTGGTAGGCAATTTTGTTATATATGTTGACGTTTTAATGTTGATTGTCCAGGGCAAAACGCGCTGGTAACCCGGCTTTAATTTATCTGCTAAAATATTCACAGAACTCCGTTGAATAAAATTTCTAAGTGAAAAGTTAATTTCAAGAACTTGACATCTAAATGTCATTATTTCGCGCCAAAACTTACTTCTCAAGTTTGATTTTCTTCAACGCTATTTCTTTGCCAGTTGAAACTTCTGTTGCTTTATAAACAACACCGTATGTCCCTTCACCAATTTTTTCTTGTGGTGTGTAGTTATCCATCGATTAACACTAATTAAACTTAAATTACAGAATTTTATCAAATCAACACACAACACATGTAAAAGGCAGTCATTTTTTGGAATTGGATTGATTCATTTCATTCATTCACTCTCTCACTGATACGCACTCATTCATTCTTGTTTTTTTCTGATTTTGACATCAATGAGCCGTGGCGCGCCTTACTGTTGTAACTTCTTNAACTTGTACTATTTTGATGATTTAAGACTCGAAATCACGTTTAAAATGGCACGACACGACATAGCCTTATTCATATTTTAATATGGTGTCCTTTGTCTGTGGCATGTGGCATAGAGGAATTAATATGATCTGTGGCACAGATATGGATTAGAGGATCTGTGGTGTCAGCCGTTTGGATCTACAAATATAAATCCAAAGCCGTAAAACTTCTATTAAAAAAAAAAAAGTGATGACAGTTGGTTGGTGACAGTGACAGTTTTGGTGTTAGTTTTTTGGTTTTTGTTGGTTAGAATCACAGAATTTATTGTTTATTGAGAGAAACTCAAGTGTGTTATGTGTTTTTTGTGTTCCTCGCAATAATTTAATAATTGTCCGCCTTTGAGAAATTCTATGCTATAAGCGTAAAGAATTTATTTTATTGCTTTTACATACATTTTCTTCGATAAGCATCAAAATGTCTATAGAAATTGAATCAGCTGAGTAAGTATATTAGCAATAAATTAATTAAATATTTGAGCAATAGATAACATTTTATTGTATTATTTTCAGCGTTATACGGCTCATTCAGCAGTATTTAAAAGAATCCAATCTTACCAAAACATTGCAGACTTTACAGGTAAACAACTGAAATATTTTAAAAATCTATCTAGTTTCGTTACTATTCTAAGTATTGGGGCATGGAAATCCATTATGATGAATTATGGAATACCTACGGAAATATTTATATTTTTTTTTTGCAAATTTCTGACTGCAAATCATTGATCGCTTTTTTAATTTTTCTTCCAGGAAGAAACAGGTGTATCTTTGAACACAGTGGACAGCGTAGACGGGTTCTGCGCGGACATCAACAACGGGCACTGGGACACGGTGCTGAAGGCCACGGCGTCGCTGAAGCTGCCCGACAAGAAGCTCATGGAGCTGTACGAGCAGGTGGTGCTGGAGCTCATCGAGCTGCGCGAGCTGGGCGCGGCGCGCTCGCTGCTGCGCCAGACGCACCCCTGCCTGCTCATGAAGCAGCACGAGCCCGACCGCTACATCCACCTGGGTGCGTACAAGTGCGAGCGAGGCTCGGCCATCATTCGATAACTGTTCAATAATTAATGTAACTAATTACTCATGAAATTGTATTTTGTATTTAATTGCAGTTAAATATTAAACCACGATAGCCGAACGGTGAAGGGGACGGACCTGCCGACTCGTGACGCGAGGAACGCGGGTTCGAATCCCGCCGCTGCTCGACTGATTTAGTATTTAGGAATTGCTAATTTTCTTAAAAAAAAATTTAAAATATAATTTAAAAAATGGCTTAAGCCATTCGATTTCGGCATCATAACAGTGACCAGTGACCCGTTAACAAGTCGGCTCTCGGCCCCCTCGCAGAGAACCTGGTGGCGCGGTCGTACTTCGACCCGCGCGAGGCGTACGGCAGCGGCGGCGGCAAGGAGCGGCGGCGCGCGGCCGTGGCGGCGGCGCTGGCGGGCGAGGTGTCCGTGGTGCCCAGCTCGCGCCTGCTGGCGCTGCTCGGGCAGGCGCTCAAGTGGCAGCAGCACCAGGGCCTGCTGCCGCCCGGTAATGCCCGCGGGCGCTCCGTTTGAGCCTTGCGCTCTGTCTATATCTCTATGTGCATGGATCGAATGGGATAAGATCTCGGAAGGCTTTATTGTTTTACGCAGGGTTGTTGATGAGTGGCCGAGGTGTAAAAAATCTATTAATCGCTCCTCTGTGTGAGTTGCAAACGGGAGAAATAATGAATGATCATTTTCAGTCGTATGTCATTATTGTTTTACCAAATAAATAAATTATTACTGTAAGGTCTCCGGGCTCATAACAGAACGGATTCGTTTGTTGCAAATGAATCACAACACATTCTGTGGCGATGTTATTTCACGTCGACCCTCTTTCGTTCGAACAATACGAGCATAATGACACTGTTTCAGGGACGACGATCGATCTGTTCCGCGGCAAGGCGGCCATCAGGGACGAGGAGGACGACCAGTGCCCGACCCAGCTGTCCAAGATGATCAAGTTCGGGCAGAAGTCTCACGTGGAGTGCGCCAGGTGGGTGCCGCGCCCGCTGCGACGCGGCCGGCGGCGTGTGCGTGCGCGTGTGCGAGTGACGCTCTCTCTGCCGCAGGTTCTCGCCGGACGGGCAGTACCTGGTGACGGGCTCGGTGGACGGGCTGGTGGAGGTGTGGAACTTCACGACGGGCAAGATCCGCAAGGACCTGCGCTACCAGGCGCACGAGGAGTACATGAGCATGGAGGAGGCCGTGCTCAGCCTGGCCTTCGCGCGCGACTCCGACACGCTGGCGGCCGGCGCCAACGACGGCGCCGTGCGCGTGTGGCGCGTCAGCTCGGGCCAGGTGCAGCGCCGTCTGCCGCGCGCGCACGCCAAGGGCGTCACGTGCCTGCAGTTCTCGCGCGACGCCGCGCAGCTGCTGTCCGCGTCCTTCGACCGCACCGTGCGCATCCACGGCCTGCGCTCCGGCAAGCTGCTCAAGGAGTTCCGCGGCCACGCGTCCTTCGTCAACGAGGCCGTGTTCACGCCCGACGGCCACGGCGTGCTCAGCGGCTCGTCCGACGGCACCGTGAAGCTGTGGTCGCTGCGCACGGGCGAGTGCGCCGCCACGCACAAGCCGCTCGGCGGCGGCGAGCCGCCCGTCAACTCGCTGCTGCTCACGCCCAAGAACCCCGAGCACTTCGTGGTGTGCAACCGCACCAACACCGTGCTCGTCATGAACATGGCGGGGCAGATCGTGCGCTCCTTCTCCAGCGGGCGGCGCGAGGCCGAGGGCGGCGCGCTCGTGGCGGCGGCGCTGAGCGCGCGCGGCCGCCTGCTGTACGCCGCCGCCGAGGACCTCGTGCTGTACGCCTTCTGTACCGCCACCGGCAAGCTGGAGCGCACCATCAACGTGAGTGGCTCGCCCGCCCCCGCCCCGCTGCTACCCCGCCCGCCCCGCTCACGCGCGCGCTTGCTTTCAGATCCACGAGAAGGCGGTCATCGGGCTGACGCACCACCCGCACCAGAACCTGCTGGCCACGTACAGCGAGGACGGGCTGCTCAAGCTGTGGAAGCCCTAGGCGGACGCGGCGCCGCGCGCGTTCGACTCGGAGCTTCCGCTTCCTTCGCGGGAGTGCCGTTTTATGATACGAAGGATTCCGTTTTTTTTTGTTAGAATTTATTTTTTCATGTTTTATGAAATAGTTTCATTTTTAAGCTTCCGAACGATTCAAAATAGCTATGTTCGGATTAGGCTCACGGTGGTACGGACTGTAGACGGACCGGTGCTCTTATCGATCTGATACGACTGAATACAGACCATAAACCGAACAATATACTGTGGTTTAAAAAAAATGGACTACAACGAGTACTTTGTGTATTATATTACTCGGAAACGGATGGTGCGGAGGGTGGAAGCGTTAGGCCCTTTTCACACGTCCCGGTTGCCGTCTAACCGGCGCCGGGTACCCGGTCGTGAAGTGTATGGGCATGCCGGATTAATTACGCCGGAACATGTGAAAGCTACATACCATGCCCATACACTTCACCACCGGATACCCGGCGCCGGTTAGCCGGCAACCGGGACGTTTAAAAAGGGCCTTACAGTCGATGTTCGTGTGACAGCTCAAACTTAGAGGCCTTGCCACACTGGCGGCGGGTAACAAGCGGGTTCAAAGTGGAGCGGCGACGCCGCGTCTCCGCCGCGGATACGCGGCGTGTTCGCTGCGTCGCCGCTCCGCTTTGAAAACCGTTTGCAATCCGCCAGTGTGGCAGCTCACTATAACTTACATAAATAGGTACTTCTGAATTTTTCTTCTGTTATAAATGTAATCATCAACTAGGATCAAACAAGTAAACATGCTAATATCGTGACAATAAATGAAATACAACTGTATCTCTGCTGTCCCCTTTGTTTAAATCTATGCTATGGTTTAAATGCTATGGTAAAAAATAATAATAAATTAGTGTAAGAGAATCGTGTTTTATTTAAAGACGACTTGAAGTAATAAAAATGTTCCTAATAAGATTTCCTGCAAATAGGCAATGATTATTATTTTTTGCTAAATCAGCGTCAATCCTACCCAAGTTCTGGTCTCTTGTTACAATTAAATGGTATTTTAATGGTACAATTGCCTATCATAATTTATACGAGTAGTATGTAACTTATACAGTGTGAGTCACGTTAAAGTGTACATATCAAAATAGATGAAACTAGACCTATTTTTATCGACAAAAAAGAGGTCAAAAATTTTTTTAGATTTTTTTTTAATTTTTTATAGAATTTTTTTTCTTGCAATTACTTATTGTAAAGAAAACGTAATAACTTTTAAACTAAGCTGTATATCCTGATAAAATAAAAACAGTAATNCAATGAAACCAATGTAAAATCTTTATTTCTTGACATAGGTATCATTAAAAATGATAAGTGTAATTACTGGTAAAACGTTTTAGGAAGAAATTACTGTAAAAAATGTGAAAAATGTTTACAATGATCCAATGTCGGAAATCACGAAATAAACACTTACGCGTGGAATCTTATGTCACTTCCAGGACACCACGTACTACCGCAACCACGCACTACGAAATTTTGCACCAATTCTTGTGATAAAACAATGATTATTTCCTGTAAACAATCTCAAACGAAATTAACTGCTTAATAAACAAAATAGTAAACAACCGCCATGATGGGCCGGATTGGGCCGATGTTGCCACATGGTACCGATTACCCAGGAATTGGGATTGTAATTCCCTGATTCGCCAACACATTAAGCCTAAATGGCCGACAATTTTGTGATTTTTTATTTAACTAGGTAATCTTAGTTACAAATATTAATTATTTATTTGTTTAACTTCTGATTTGGTTAGTGAATCGGCTATTTCGAAGAATTTACAAGGAGATTTAAATCAGAAGATAGCAATACTACAGTTCACACCAAAAAGAGAGGTAGGGCCGCAGAGAGCGATATAGACATAAGTAGGTATTTGACTCAAGTTTTTGTTCCAACTCTGCCCTCCATTTTTATCTTTAGCTTCATGCTTCTTACCCATAAAGTTAATATTCCTTCGTTCTTACCACAGCACAGATAAGGATAGCTAAACGCGCGCAAACGCGGTCATAATAAATCTATCAAATTCCCTCAGATTAAGGAAAAAACACCGGTTAATGTTAAAATTACGGTTAAAGTGAAAAGGTGCAACTGGGCTTAAGTAATCTCTAAAAAATACTGACGCTGATTTATAGAAATCTAATCCCAAAATCAAAATGTATGCAGATTTTTGTTTTCACTGTATTTCAGATATTTCTTTATTATTCGGCATGTGACGATGCACAGCATCTGGTGAGAGAGATGCGTCTACTTCCGGTGTAGTTTTTTACCATTTTATACCTTAAATGACGTCATTTCCGCAATTATTTAATAGGAATTGATTTGACTTGCTTCCGTTTGCCGCCATTTTAGTCACCTGGAGGCGAGCTTGCTCGGAGTTCTTCATAGCGTCTTTAACTTCCAAACTAGCAACATCGTAAACAGAAACTCTGCTCAGATTTTTACTGAAATAATTTATTTCTCAACGTTCTTATACTAAGTTTAAATTTAAAAAGTGCAATTGACCGCGCGTGTGTGACCGCGAACGACATGTACGTGATGGTGGTTGGCGCCAAAGGGGACGAGTGTCTTCCGGACGACGAGCAGGTGGACCCAGAGCGTCGGATACCGGAGAAACTCGGACCCCGGCGAGATTCAAAACGGATGAAACGAGGTACGTGGGATTCTGATAGCTTTAACACTCTTTTCGATCAAATGAGCATTCTCGCGAATCTCTATAAATAGATTGAATAACGTACCCACAACCATCTTATACAATTTTAACGGCGGCCTNTAACAACAAAACTGAAAATGGCTCTAGATTTGTAATTTTGATAAAGACAAGTTAGATTTCAAATAAAAACAAAAGATTTCGAAGTAAAATAAGCATTTTAGTTAAAATTAAAATTGTCTCTACCTGTAGCGGAGAATAATGTTGTGGCAGGCCTTTGTTCAAACGATCATAGCAAATGTTGTGATAGGGATAGAGACATGCGATTTTTGGTTTTACAAAGATAATACGGTTGAGAACAATAAAAAATAATAAAAACCACCGGTTATAGGGGCATTTTTTGGAGAAATTTATCAAATAACAAAAAAAACACGAATTTTAAAGCAGATTTTTTTCAAAAAGTATCATTTTTTATTATTTGTTGGCCTTTTTTGTGTATTTTATGTATTTTTTTAGTATCGCCTGTTATTTAGCATTATTACTGTTTTTATTTTATCAGGATCTACCGCTTAGTTTAAAAGTTATTACGTTTTCTTTACAATAAGTAATTGGAAGAAAAAAAATTCTATAAAAAATTAAAAAAAAATCTCAAAAATTTTTTGACCTCTTTTTTGTCGATAAAAATAGGTCTAGTTTCATCTATTTTCATATGTACACTTTAACGTGACTCACACTGTATTGTATTTACTTTACATTCAAAACTCAAAACCGGTCAAAAGTTCAAAACCACTTTTGAGTACCAAAGTCAGTAAAGCACGAGATTTAATCGTTTATGTACTTCAAAATTATAGAATCATTGCGTAGGTACTTACAGTATTATTTATGGACCTAAGTATTTGAGTTTTTTTAATAATGATAAATTTATTCAACAAAACAAAATTAGCACAAACAAATTGCAGAACTTATAAGCACTTACAAGTAACATAAATAAATTATTCAATGCTAAATTTGTATTATAATGGTTCTGATTCTAATAGAATTTCTACCCTAGGCTGGTCGCGCCGACGGTCTCACAGAATGGGAAGACAATAAATAATATGGGGGTAGAATTAGATGATACTACCCACCACCTTACGCATGACTTGCTTGACGTGCCAGTCAGCTTGTGACCGCGGGCACGGCCGGAGCAACCCGTCAGGCAAATACTTAGAGGTAGGCGTATCGCGTTAAAATCTGTTTAAATTCATTTTAATAATTGACGTTAATTGTGATTTTTATAGAAGTAGAGTGAATTAAGTGTTGTTTTCTGGTGTCGTCAGTCTTGCTTGCAGATTCCATGTGATAGGTATCTTAGCATCGATAATATGAATAGATTTTACTTAATTCTTTGCAAAGAATTAAATAGGCACCCAGACTTTACTGTTCTTTGAGAGCCAGATAAAATCACAGATACATAGCGATAATCATACAGAAAACACCAATTCTGTGTAATGTGTTCACAATTTATAGAATTTAGTTTATTTAGTACTGATAATAGCATTATAAGGGTCATTCCATAAAAATCTGTATATTTTCGACGTCATTTTGTCCGTAACTTTTTTAAGATGCTTTTGAATACTTTATTAGTGTAAATTATAGGTTATTAATTAATTATGTTATGTCTAAAAGGGCCAGTCATTTTATGCTTTATTTTAGGAGAAATTATAATTTTCAATTTTTTCATACTACATTACTCCTATATGACTTCTAATAAAGTATAAAACTTATAACCTTAACATTTACAGAGAAGTTAATATACATAATGTAGTTGTTTTGTTATTATTACTATATAAAAAATATCATTCCCTAACTAGTAATTTAGTCCCAAGTGCCGTTTAAAGCTAGGGCCTGACGCTCTAGGGACTGATGATTTGGAGTAAAACTTAACACAAATGCAGATTAACTTTATATTATAAGATGCTTAATACGATGTGCCGAAAATAGCCAAAAAACCACACGTAAATACTATTAAATTATATACAATTTCCTATTGTAATCAATAAAGCTACTCAACTAGGGACTGACGAAGTGACTGGATTAACACATGTTTCCCCAACAACTGGCACGTTTACACTAATTCAAAAAACGGCTACCGCAAAGCCAGTATGGTCTGAGGATAACTTCGTATCGTACTTTAAACTCAACTAAATGTCATGCACTCTAAATACATATTAAAGCGCAAAATTATAAAAATCAGTGCGTTGCGAGGGAATGACGCTAAAAGCTGTAGACTCTTTTTCAACTAAAGAAAATCAAATTATTGTTTATTGAAACAGCAAAATATTAATAGAATTTGATGTAATATACATTTAAATAGATTATTCGTTAATTAAAACAAAGGATAAAGTTGATGTTTTTATAAATGTGGGTCCCAAAACACAAACTTTTGGAGTACGGACATGCCTAGGGAATGACGTTTTGGGTGGTTCAAAAGTAATTGAAGATGTTTTAAAAATAGTTTCAAAAAATATAAATGGGTGATGAATAAAGCACATTGCGAGCTGTTATTTAACAATTTTGGAATAAAATATTAACAAATATTTCATGTGAAATGTGGCGCGGACTAAGAGTTGACATAATTTTTGTGGAATGACCCATAAAATGTAAATCACGCAAGAAATTATCAAAGCGAGCGTGTGACGGTGCTTGTTGAAATACTTAGTAACATTCGTGGGGGTAGAATTAGATGAATCTACCCCACACGGACGATCAATCCCCTACTCGACGCTCCAGTCCCTGACTACGGCCAGTGCAACCCGGGTGAAACGTCAGGCGAATAAAATAGGTAATATTTAGTTATTGCTAATTGCGTATACCATTTAATTCTATAGTAATTTATTTAAATAATGCAACTTGGATGCATGTAAAAGTAATTAATCTAGTCTGCACGTATGTTCTCGCGTTTCAAATTGTGAAACTGTGTGCTGCGTCCTACCGTCTTTTAAAATAGTACCCATTTGTATCTTGACCCATATCAGATACGCCATATTACATGTTTCAAATCTATTTAGATACATACATACACACAGTGTTACACTTCATTTCATTTAAAAACTGCATTATAAAATAAAAATCCTTGATAATTTGCAACTTGGCAATGAATATAATCATTAATTAATAAATTAATTTATAGTTTACACATTTATGAACATTGTATTTATAACACATTTTGCAATCAGTGTACCGGTCAAATTACCTGCGAGACCCAGCACCTGGCTGGGGCTGGAATGCGACTCTTTTTGCACTCGCCCGCACGTGCCCGCACAGCTCTCCGCGTTGGCCCCGTAATGCAGTGACATTACACTGGTGTGGGCGGATTGAGTTGTCGCTGCGCAGAGGAGACATGACAAGGTTTTGTTTTTGAGGTAAGCTTATAAATCCATACTTTATTGTCCATAATATTGTTTTTTCAAGACGCAAAACAGATTACAATAAATTGAGATTTCATAGGAAAATTAAGATTGAGAATTAATTTGTCAGCAAATCCTGATGGGTAATGACGTCACGTGAACACATCACAGGCTTGTTGCAGAAATATTTACATGCCCAGTTAAACAGGTCGATAGCCCACTTAATAAAATCATCAGTTTGTATGTAGGCAAATATGTGATCGATCATCCATTTTGTGATATCTTACCAATATTATAAATGCGAAAGTTTGTATGGATGTCTGGATATTTGTTACTCTTTCACGCAAAAACTACTAAACGGATTTTGATGAAGCTTTACAGTATTAGTGTTTATAACCCAGAATAATATATAGGCTATAATTTATGACGATCTATGACAAACTAAATTTCACGCGGGTGAAGCCGCGGGTAAAAGCTAGTTTATAATAATTTCATTTGTGTGTTAATGAATTAAGTAAGGTACTTAACCGTTACCTAATCTGATTTTTGGTGGTTAACATAATATAAGCTTTTTTATGTAATTATTATTTCTCCTTCTTTCAGAGCAGAGGCGGCGCTGCGGCTGCGGGTTCTTGCGGGTTCTCGCGGGCTCGCGCCGGGGCGCAGCAGCCGGGCAGCCGGGCGCTGGCGTGCACGTTACACTTCAATAAGTAAGTAGGTACGCCTGCAAAAATATAACTATGCATCTGACGTGTGCCTTACACCGCGCCTCTTTTCTTTGTGAAGTTTTTTGGTTGGTCATTCGTATTATTAGATGATTAACAACAAATTATAAAATGAGACGTTTTACGTATCTTCGTACCATTAAAAAGAACTATTTTTTTTTTGTAAAAATAAACTCATTCATATTAAGTCAGTGATTGGATTTGATTTTTTCGTCATCGCAAGCGATAATAATTATTGTAAATCAGTCGATCAACGGAATGTGAAGCGCCATATTTAGCATTTTTGTTTAATTTTCTAAAAGTTTGGATATATGTGACAATGTTGAATTGTTAATTAAGTTTACTGTTCGTAAACGTGCAATCAATAGGCAAGTCAAACAAAATTTTAAATAATATAATAACCGTACGTCGCCATAAGAAGAAATAGATAAAGTAAATAAGGTAATAATATTTTTCCAATAATTAGGTAATAAAAGTATTTTTTCGTTTAATTTCAGGTTCGAGGGGCAGCCACCGGAAGGAGCCAGGCAGCCGCGGCGGATATTCATGCGGATTTCACCAAAAACATGAAGGGATAGGATTTTGACCGGTAAGTAGGGTAGATGTCTATGACGTTATTAGAAGTGTCTGCTGGACTTGACATTTGGTGGTATTAACGTAGAATACTGACGTTGCAGGTGCGCGGGCGGCGCGCGGCGGAGAGCGAGGCTGGGGAGCGGCGCCACACTCGGCAGGTAACGTTCTCTGCTGGTAATTATAATTTTCTTAAACTTCCACCGTTACTTGCACTTGGGTTATTAATAAACCGAGAACACTGGGGAGCTGATTAGATGTCCTATCCATCACATTGACAGGGGGGCGCCACCATCGTTTAACTAGTTTCGAACATGACAAAAATCGAAACCAGCTATCCCCGATTGACGGTGGCGCCCCCCCTTTCAATGTCACTGGTGGGATGCGCTGGACGGTTCAGTGTAGATCAGCTCTTAACTTAGGATTGATTTACAACCATAGATTAATAAAGCCTAGATAGTAAGCGTACAAAAAATGAGACAACTTTTAGTGGAAACTTTCTAAGTTTACAACGTAATATTATTTTTATTTCAAAAAAAGATGAAAGACCCTGTCTCAACCTGCCCTGGAAAATAAAGTTATTTTTAAAAGTTGTTTTCTCAGTTCCAGCAAGCGGAACACCGTCCGACCACATCCGAGCGTCCGACGAGCGCGACCCGAGCACCGCGACCGAGGCCGGAGGCTGCAGTGCGGCTACGCTTATCGTGTTGCAGGTTAGTACCTGACTGAGTATTTGTTTATTTAAGGGGAGCTGATAAACAATACTCTAAAAAAGTACATTATTAGCGGACTATAAATAATGCTCAGTGTCGAATGAATGTTAATATTCACTTTGGAATATGTACAATTTCCGAGATAATTTTTTTGATCGATGCGGAATAGCTGCCTGGTCCCATAAAAATGAAATTCAATTTGGTTATGTAGTTTTTTTTATGAGCAAAAATGCTAACTTGAACGACGAAATTTTCACGACATTTTTATTTATGTACTGTACTTAAAGATTTATGATCCGATTTGAGTGATTATTCTTTCGTTCAATAGGAGATATTTGCTGTTAAGCTTATTTTAGTTTGACTTAGTTTTTTGAATTCTATTAGTGTGAGAATCTATGACAGCCTAATTATTAAGTTATTATACCCACTCGTAGTATTCTAGGAATATTATAGCTATTTTTTTTCCTATATAAAACTTTCTTAGCATGATTATAAAACTAAATTAGATCTAAGAGAAATTGTTGACGATAGTTATTATTTACCCGATCATTGACAAAAAACGAATTAAAAAGATTTCCTCTACAAATTAAAGTCGAGGTCCAGTGACAAACGATAACCGCCGCGTGCGCTGCAGCGCGGGGGAGGGGCGCGGGGGGGCGCGGGGGGCTGCAGCACTGTACTACACTGCTATATTTTTCGTAGACGCTCGCACGTGCTGCGCACGCGCTCGCGCCAGANTGTACCATCCTAGACTGCATCTCACTTAACACCAGGTGCGATTGCGGTCAAATACCTGCCTTGGATAGCATAAAAAAAAAAAAAAAACATAGTTAACAACTAAGTTAGTTTCGTATAGGTATACAGGGTGGAAACGTTAAGTGATCTCACTCGATTATTACTAAACTATACAAGATATCGAAAAACTGATTACTGATTCTGAAAGTGCTTCACAAGCTCTTTCAAACGGTACCAATAATAGGTTACAGAATAAACTGGATCTATCCGAAAATTCAATGTTTCCAGCTTCCATACATTGAATAAAACGACATAATATTAAAAACTGTACAAGATATTCAAAAACTGGTTATTGATCCTGAAAGTGCTTCATGAGCTCTATCCAACGGTACCAATAATAGGTTACAAAATAAACTGAATCCATCCGAAAATTCAATGTTTCCAGCTTCCATACATGTAGTATAGCCACAGTCGCCAGCACTCATGTCTTGATACTATTATAGCAAGTAAAGCCTAAAACCAATACTTTCAAAGAATAATTTTAAATAAGAATGCAATTTACGAGTTCATTTCGAGTGTTTATTATTTCATAAAAAAAACTTAATAGTACTTTTAATATTGTTTGGCTGGCAATGCTGGCATACATTTAATATGGAGGCTGGAAACATGTAATTTTTGGATAGATCTGTAACCTTTTATTGGTACCGTTGGATAGAGCTAGTGAAGCACTTTCAGGATCAGTAATCAGCTTTTCGATATCTTGTATTGTTTAGAAATAATCTAATGAGATCACTTATCGATTCCACCCTGTAGAATTGGTATAAGATTTTTTTTTATAAAATATCAAGTAAACATTTAACAAAATATGTATCTGTTAAGTAATTCTTTTGTTTTTTGTACAAAATGCTTGCCTTAATTAATAATTAGGAATGTAATGGGGTCATATTTCATAATTATTTTTTATCACAGATATCATTATTTTAAATAGTAGTATGTTAACCAAACAAGAGATAAAACTGAAAGATAACTTCTGATAAATCTTCATAGTAGTAGGCACTCACAGTTTTCTTAAAGAGCAAGTATAGTAAACTGAACTTTCAATAAAAATAAAATGTTTCCTGAGGAGCTAATTAATGAGGCAAAATGTCCATTCATAATTTTTTGCTAAAGACAATGCTGTCTTGTACTTCTTAAATCATTTAAAATACTCTTTCATTATTCCATTTTTCCAGACACTCTCTTGAGGTAGTTTTTCCATAGAGCCTCTTTGTAGACCAGTGCCTCAGCAGCGGGGTTCTTTGCAGACAGAATGCCTCGGCCCACAACCACGACGTCTGCGCCTTTCTCCAGCATTACCTTCTCTGGAGTGTTGTACACCTGGCCCAGATCGTCTTTGGTGCTTTCCAGCTGCACTCCTGGAGTCAATTGTATTAGACCTGGAATGTGAGAAGAGGCTTGATACAATAACTGTTTGCTTAAAAAAAATTGGTTAAACTTTAGCTACTGAGGTGGATTTAATTTCACGTAAACACTGACGTGGGGGCCTGAGGCCCGTACATATGTGTGCTTATTTTTAGGGTTTTATGCTTAATAATTATTAATAGTGGTTATATTTAAATACAATAAAACGATTTTTAGGTAAATTATTTATTATTTCAATATTTACTTATTATTTCAATATTTAGAAAACATGTAGCATTTTTGGCAAAAATTTCATGAAATCATGATTCACAGTTATCATGAAAAATATTCATAAATTGAACAAATCAACTTAGAATCTTAATTTTCAGTAGTCTTTTTAGCTAATGATATATCAGTAATCCTAATATGAAATAGGGGGAAAAAAATTACACACATCAAATAGTGCGAATTAAACACAGTCTGGATAAACTTGCTTTGCTCAGTGAAGGAAGGCATACATGTTTTTAAAATGTAGATTTCATTTGAATCTTCAAAATACATGTATGCCACTTGGTTTCATCGTTTAAATCTTGATAGACAGGTACAGGCTTATCATTTCCAAGCATAATGTGCCAAAAACTACTGTTCTTCTATTTTTCGTTAAATGCTGGTTATTTTTACTTCCGAGATACCGCTTTCTCTCGGACGACGTACTGTGGGCTCCATATTATAGATTTTTTCAAATTATTTCAAGAAAAGACAACTAAATGAAAACTATAGACAAAAAAAGTTAGGCCAATACTAAGGTGGGGGCCTGAGAGGCCCACAAGAAACTTTAAAAAATTTACCTACTGAAATTGCGCGTGCAATCACGTGCACCGTTATTGACAGCCTCGGCGCAATGAAACTCGAAGGTACTAAAAGATTCGGGTGTGTCATGCACGTGGGAGAGGAGAAATTCAACAATTTGACTTTTTTTAAATAGTTTTTTCATTAATACTGACAAATAAAATATTTTGAACTTACCTGGTTGATTGAAAGTATTTTTGTTCTGACAAACAAATCCACAAATCAAATTCAGATAATTTGAAGCCATACTGACTGTTTTCTCTGTGTACTCTGGTGTGATAAGATTTCCCTGTAATGAGAATTGTTTAATGTAAGTATTAGTTTTTACTTGACTTTCTGTTAAAAAAATTACATTACATTTTAAAAGTTATATTATAACATTGCAAAAACAGATCTTATTGCCTAATGGCAATCTTATTGCCTAATGTTAATGCATTGTATGAAACAAATCAAAATATGCTGATTGGAGTAAATTGAATAATTATGGTTCAATTGAAACCTTACCTCACTACTCATCTCTGCCAATAAAAATACTCCTTGGCTAACACCGTTGGTTGCCCCATTGATGGCTTTAAGAATTCCCTCTCCAGGCAAAGAATGTGCGGTTATACAATCAGCCCACTCTGAAACTTTATGCAATCCTTTTGCATACTGCAAAGATACAGTATTTCCAATATCTGCGTACTTTCTATCTTCCAATATAAGAAAGTTGAATCTTTTTGCCAAACTTTTAAGACTGGTTATGAAGTCCGTACTGAAGTCTTCAATAATATCAGCATGTGTCTTCACTAAACACACATGTTCACCAACTTTTTCCAACAAATCCAATATACTTGTGGTTGTAGTTAAGTCAACAGACACACAAAGATTGGTTTTCTTTGTTGCCATAACATCAAACAGCTGCTTAGCAATTTCATTGGTTGCTAATTCTGCCCTTTTCTCAAATGTGAGGTGTGTGCGGTCTTTAGGTTTCTCTGTAAAAATGTTAAGATAACAATGTCATTACTTTACAATAAATAATGCAAATAATTATGAATAGAAAAAATAATGAAGTACCTGAAGTTGGTGCTTTTGTATTTTGAAGATAATCTTGAACCTTAAGAGCCATATCCTTGTCAATCTTTTTATTCTTCAGCAATATATTAATTAAATTTGTCATTGTGAACAATGATTTTACAGATACGTCATTTGCAGCAAGGTTCTCCCGTCCACCTTGTTCTCGGTCCAGGATGATAATAGCTTCTTGGGCTACCAAGCCTTCTCTACGAAGGTCTTTTACAGTTTCCAGCACGCTGGAGCCTGATGTCACTACATCTTCAATAATGAGGCACTTCTGGCCCGCTTTGTAATGACCTTCAATCATTTTCTTTGTACCATAAGCTTTGGCCTCCTTACGCCTCATCAGCATAGGTATCTTGGCCTCTACACTCAGCAATGTGGCTATCGGCAAAGCTGTGTAAGGTACACCACACAAATGATCACATTTACTGCCTTCTAGGGCATGATCTTGTATGAGGCGAGATATTATTTGCTGGAATAAACAATACAGCAATTATCACTTCTGGACATTTAACTCTATGTTAATAATTTAAAATTAATCAAAACAACATACCATCACATCAGGATAACTAACTATAACCCTCAAATCAAAATAAACCGGTGTAGTTAATCCACTTTTAGTCGTGAATTCGCCAAACTTTATGGCATTTATTTCAAAAAGCTGTACAGCCAAGGACTCAAGTTTTAATTCTTCACTCATTATGTAAGTTTATTTTAGAACAAACTACGAATTTTTAAATAAAAACAAAACCCACGCGAGACGAGCGAAGAAAATGAATGAATGAATGATGACAAATGTCAGATGACATGACACGAACGAATGGAGCGAATGTTGAATTCGGTGGTTGAATTAAAAATTACATTGATATCATGAAGCTAAAGATAAAAATGGAGGCCAGACTTAGAATACCTACTTGAAGCACAACCTATGTATCACTATCTCGCTCTCTGTGGGCAGGCTCTCTCTTTCTAAGTAGGGTAACCTTTTATTTATTTTTCTCAGGACGACAAAGACTGATTTACGTTTAAACAGTGTGTCTTGATAAAGTGCACTTAATATGATTATGAAAAAAGGTTTTCGATGTTTTTGTTTTAAGATGAATTACAACATTAAGAAAGTGTAAAGGCATCGAAAACTGTGGATATTTGATAGAAAACAGATTTTAATTTGGCAGTTGACAGACGGATTTGGATATGGATTGATTACAGTAAACGGCCGTAGAAAACATTATGCAAAATTAGATAAGTAAGGTCCCACAGAAAGTCCCAGATATATCCTCAATATGGTCATACTACTTCAAAATGTCTTATAGAAACAAAAATTTTAAATTTGCTCAAAGTCAATGAAACTCAATGTAAAATCTTCTTTTTCTTGACATATGTAACATTTAATAATAAGTTTAAATACTGGTAAAACGTTTTAGGAAGTAATTACTGTGAAAATACAAAGAAATATGTTAACAATGATCCACTGTCAGAAATCACGAAATAAACACTTACGCGTGGAATTTTATATCACTTCCAGGACAACACGAACTACCGCAACCACGCACTATACAATTTTGCACCATTTCTTCAGACAAAACAATGATAAGGTCCCTTGAAAAATCTCAAACGAAATCAACTGCATAGTAAACAACCGCCATGATGGGCCGGATTCGGCCGATGTTGCCACATTACCGATACCTCAGAAATTGGGATTGTAATTCCCTGATTCGCCAACACATTAAGCCTAAATGGCCGACAATTTTGTGATTTTTTATTTAACTAGGTAATCTAAGTTTCAAATATTAATTATTTATTTATTTAACTTCTTATTTGGTTAGTGAATTGGCTATTTCGAAGAATTTACAAGGAGATTTAAATAAGAAGATAGCAATACTACAGTTCACACTAAAAAGAGAGGTAGGGCCACAGAGAGCGAGATAGATATAAGTAGGTATTTGACTCAAGTTTTGTTCCCAACTTTGCCCTCCATTTTTATCTGTAGCTTCATGATTGATATCAGTGAGTGAGATCCGAAACTTTTAAATTTTTTAAAAATGAATCATAATAAAGTAACTTAATTTGATTTATTTAAAAAAATATGTATTTTCTAAAAAATGTATCAAAATAGCTCATTAATTTAACAACTTCTGCGTTATTCCCTTCTTTTCTGAATGAACCATTCATTCTTTCCCGATTAGGAAATTTGTGTTTTAATATAATGTAGATAGAGTTCAGTTTTGCTTTGACACTTTATTAAGTTTGGCGAGAAGTTTGAGAAATGTAGATTTCTTAATTATAGACCTTATTTTCAGGACACAAGAAACACAATTTAGATGGAGGCTATGTTAGAATGAAAGAGATAATATTTTAATAGTTAGTTTGCATCGCGATCGCACGCACCCTTCCCTGTCAAGTGATGTTTTCCCTTTCTCCCCATTTCTCCCTCCCTCCATCCCACAGATATGGATCTCCATCCCAAACAAATTCATTCATTCATTCTAGTCTCGGACGTTGTGTAGTGGTGTGGTGTAGTGAAGGTTTTACTATTTTGTGTTTACTTTTTACTTGTTTTGGAGATTTCCTGGTTTTTTATACATTTATGTGAGTGAGACAGTGCGCAGATTTATAATACATAGGATTTTGCTTCTTTATTGAGTAAGTTTTATATTAATTGAATATGAAGAATGTCTGCGAAAATGCAAATTCTTTTAAAAGTTTTTGGCGCCACAAATCAAATTCACGAACAAGTTTTCGATAAGTAATATAATTATTGTGTGTGACAACTTGGTTTAGGTAGGTACCTACAAATGCCTTTTCTATTTTATCGACAGGCAGGTAGCGGAATTTGAATCAATGTTAGGGTTAGGTAAAACCCACCCTTCGTAACGGTCCGACTCCGATCCGAAGTGGGGTCCCCTCCCGTGTGTAGGGGATCGGGGAAGTTAGGGTAGACAAAGGGTAGTCACCCCTATTCGGAGGGGAGCTTGGGCCTTGGGCGTTATCGGTGAGGTTGGGACTGCTAAGTATAACTCCCTGTATCCCGTCCAGTTGGCCGGTCGTCATCCGCGCAAAGTTTTCGTTACAACTTTTTGTCGATCTTATTTTGTTTCAAGTATCGCTGAAGATCCTTTCTTGTTTTCAGATAACTTTATCAGTGTTAAATTATGGAGAACCCCATAGATGGTAAGTTAAATAATGTTTTTAAATGCTGTTTGTACCTACTTGCTTAAATAAGTATTTTTACCTACGTTATAACATACCTACTAAGTTAACAACTGATACTTGTCAAAATCCAAAACTATACATTCCATGTCAAGTTGTAAAAGTATAGTTATTACTTTGAGAACTTTGTTTTTCATTTTGTTGAAAGACCGACGACGTGCCGGTCAGTAGGCCTACCTCGTAAAATTAATGACATACTTGTATTAATACGAGTGTATGTACCCACTACATGAATATTATGTATTGTGTTCTTCTTATAAATGAACTAAAGTATCCTACTTACAAGCTACTTACTTAAAAAACCTTAGGACCACTTTTAGCGATATGCGATAAAAGAGCTACATATACGACTATAAAATATACTACGCCGTTATGATACTCTTATTAGCAACTAAATACATCGTATTGTCATCGCCATGGACTGAAACTCACTCTCTTTCAGAGTCTGACCCCAATTACATGGAGTACGCTCTGAAACGGAGTCTGCTGTCCAGGAACAAGTTGGCCATAATCCTGAAAGGGCCTGACGGCGACACCGAATACTGCTGCGTGGAGTGCCCGGTCAAGTACAAGGATATTGAGCAATTACAGCTGCACTTGTGTGTGCATACCAAGCAGTATAGGTTCTTATGCAGGATTTGCGGCACTGGGTGGGTAGCATTTAGAATAGAATAGAATAGATCATCTTTATTCAGCATTTAACATTTAGGTGCATACATGTCAGAGGTTAACATTATTGAGCCATGCTGAAAAGGCGCCCCTTTTAGCGAAAATTGTAACATGACACAGGTAGTCAAGTCACGAAGCTGGTTCCCAGCAGGTACCATTTCAGTTCCCCAGCGTGTATTATTGTTTTTTGAGCACTAAAGATTTGTGCACATAGCTGCAGATTACCACGGTCCGGTTCCTATTGCAGGACCTCAAATTGTATGGGAATAAAAAAATACGCGTGCGTCGCTTGTTTTACAATCAATTTGCCAAAGTTCTAACTCGCTCATTGAATTTTTAATGTTACTACACCTCAATACTTTTATTTTAAAATCCTACTAATATTATAAATGCAAAAGTTTGGATGTCTGGATGTTTGTTAAGTACTCTTTCACGCAAAATCTACTGAAGAGATTTTGATGAAACTTTACAGTATTATTGTTTGTAACCCAGAATAACATATAGGCTATAATTTACGATGATCTGTGACAAACTAAATTTCATGCGGATGAAACCGCGCGCAAAAGCTATAGTGTAACATAATAATATACCTACCTACCTACTTTTTAATAACTTTGAACGAAACTTCGAAACTGAAGCGGCCCTATTTTCGGGGGCGCTTTATACACCTTCGGTCACACAAAAGCCCCTAAGTCTGCTAATCGTGGCGCTTATTATACTAATAATGTAACTCCCATGCTAAGTACTGTACTTAAACGACGACTTAGCGACTTGACTGTTATGACGTGTTTCTACTATTTATTGCTCCAAGTAGAAAGCTCTTTATGTACTCACCGTAGTGTTACGTGGTGGTTTGTACTACATACTTATAGTACAAAACGACCATGGGCTGGAAGACGTAGCGTGGGCAGGCTTCCTACTAGGTGGACCGACGATCTGGTGAAGGTCGCGGGAAGAGCCTGGATGCGAGCAGCGCAGGACCGTTCATTGTGGAAGACCTTGAAGGAGGCCTGTGTCCAGCAGTGGACGTCATTCGGCTGAAACGAACGAACGAACGATAGTACAAAACATGTTCTGGTGACGTAAAATATTTTGCTTTTTAGGTTGAAAAGGAAAGAGCACTTGGACAGACATACTTTGGAGCACCAGGAGCTCCGCCCTCACAAGTGCGAAGACTGTGGCAAGGCCTTCAAGCGGAGGGAGCACCTTAACATCCACCTCACCATACATAAGGACGACAAGACGTACGAGTGCTCGCTCTGCAACCGATGTAAGTTATTTCTGATAATGTTGGCCAATGGACTGACGATCTATTGAAGACTAGCGGCCGCCCGCGACTTCGTACGTGTGGATCCCGGTTTTACCCCCTTCATCTTACTTACGCGGTTTAGATTTTTTGATACAAATGTTTTTTCCCGCTAACTCCCGTTCCCGTGGGAATTTTGCAATATCCTGTTGTAACTAAGTTTTAACTTTACTAAGGTACCTGCATACTTTTCAAGCGTCTAACTTAAGCGGTTTAGATTTTTCATACAAAAGGATTTTCCCGCTAATTCCCGTTCCCGTGGTAATTTCGGGAATTCCTTTCTTAGTGCACCTCTACGGTACCTATAAGCTACATACGTCCCATCCAAATTTCAAGTGCCTACGTAGCAGCCGTTTTAGGCTGTGCGTTGATATGTCAGTCAGTCAGCACAGGATCGGTAGTTGTGGAATTCCATGTCCAGCTGTGGATATGGATACAGTTTTTAAAACTTATATTAATAGTTTGACTAACAGTACAAAAAACTGCTAGTGTGTAACCAGCTTAGTTATACCTATAGGGCTGCCGACGTGATAAATATCCAAATCTTCGGTTATTTATTAAAAATAAATTGTATGAAATATTTCAATTGGTTAAATTACTTTGTCAAT